ATGCGTCAAGACCATGGATAATAAATCACATACTTCGCCCACTGCTTCATCTATGTCCCATGTGGTTGGCAAATAACATGACAAAACAGTGAAGTTCCGAGTAGCCATGCGAAATTGCAACATACAAACTCGGCAAGAATAAGCATGAAAGGTCATGTTATCCAGGTTGCGTTGACATGCAGCTGAGACGCATATTCCAACGCTTCTGCTGTTGGCCCCACTGCTGAGAAAAACTTTGGTGCCATTGAATGTATTGAGCGACTCCTCCCGCTCGGAACGCCATGTTTCTGAAATGCACACAAAAAAACATCAAAGTTGCAAGCATCAATCTCAGCCAAGAAATCCTCAAATCGTGTTTGATGACGAATGCCCTGTACGTTCTTCGCATCATCGGCCGCATGCCTACAAGATAAAGAATATCCTTGATGCTCAGCCTCATTGCGTCTCCTCACCCCTTGTTGGCCATAACTTAGTCCCAACTCGAGATCTGCAAGAAAGTCCTTCATGGCATCGGGAACTTCGGCACTCAAGGGTCCTTCCTCTGTTGGCCACCCTACGACACCATCTTCCGCAACGTATGCTGCATGTGTAAGCTTTGTGCTGGTCCGGACTGAGACACGGAATGTCTTGTAATTCACAAGAATACTTCTTGGAGCAAAACATAGCAAAACCATCCAACTCAATGGCGAACTTCTTGATCTTACTCGCAATCTTGCTGCGCTTGCGTTCGGCAGCGGGTTTGTTTTCTGCAGCCTGCAGCCCATAATTTTCGTATCTTCATGCCTTCGTGCTTCTTCTGCGTGCGGACAGACTTCTGCATGGAGTCTGTGGATGCGAATTCAGCGAATGCCACAACGGGGTTGGGGCTTGTGGTATAGATATCGACGATACCCGTCACATCAGCAAGAACCTCTTTGACGAAGGCTTCTGCCTGTTCTGGATCTTGCTCACCAAACCCGCCGATGACTGCCACTGTGCGATCTTCGTTGTCATGAGCGCGCAAAGTTTGTTTGGGTGATGTCGTTTCCAAACGCGACACACGCTCTCCAAGCGTGCATGTCTCTCTGCTGTCAACTCATCCCGAAACTGCAGAACAGTGTCGTCAAAGCTCGGCTCATAGAGTTTTCAAGCTGCGAAAGTTCTTCTCTCATCATGCCACGCAATGCCGTCAACGTGGCCGCACAAATCTCTACTCTGGTGGTGCTGGGTTCCGATAGGTCTGTTGACAAAGCTCTGGGTGCTGCATCCCTGGCTGATTGCCTACTGCGTGCAGCGGCTTCTTTGTCTGGTGTTCCTTCGGGTGCAGCTCTCTTCGTTTGCAGCTGCGGGTCCATCTTGTCGTCGTCAAATTTCATGAACTCCTTCTCGAAATCGGTAGGCAGATCCTGCCACTGTGCGCCTTTTTAGCTGGCTTCCCCCACTGTGCCAGAAGTTTTGTACTGTTCATACCGTTCAAAGGCTTTGGATCCAGGCTTTTTTGGATTTGTTTGCTGGAATACCATTTCGTTTCAGCTCTCTTCAAAGCTTCCGTCTGAACACTGGACAGAGGCATGGCTCTAGGTGTCGGTTTCAGAACTTGAGCAGCTTGGCCGAGTGACACAACGCGATACAGTGCCCAAGCATAGCGAGGCTGCGTGTGCTGCACTCGCGCCATTCGATCCTTTGCTTTAAATACGAAACTTCGGTGCGTGCTGTGTTCATTGCGCAGAGCAGTGTTCCTCGCCTTGACCTTCTTCGTCGGATGTTTGTGCTGGTGCTCGCGCCACTCGTGCTCGCAATTCATGTTGACGGTTGTGGTGATATTGTGATGGTTGCCGTCGTCGTACTGTAATTGCTTTTTCTCAACTGCAACGCCTGGCGAAGGTTATTCCATTCAAAACCACTATGGGTGGATACTGCCGGGCATAGTGAATCAGGTACCAGTCGGGCTAACTGTCGGGACGTGTTCGTCGTGGCCGAGACTTGCACAAAAGATCTTTCAACATCGTTCAACTAGTGTGTAGTAGTCATGGGGGCTCTCACGGTCGGAGGGGCAGAGGCTGTGAAAGCTCCGGTTGCGTGTTGCATCGCGATGCGGCGTTTGGCCCAAGACTTGGAGCAGCCGCCCCTTAGAGCCAGGCGGCCGATAACTCCCGTCGCAGTCCGGCAGACTGCGAGGCCATTGCTGCCGTGTTTAGGTGTTGCCGTTGTTGCGTACTTTCCTCGAGCTTTTGTGCCAGGTGGGAGGATGATGAACCCCATGCAAGCACAGCAGATGATGCAGCAACAACAAATGATGCAGCAGATGATGATGCAGCAGCCGTGGCCTTAGAGATGTCTGGCTGAAGATTTATTCGATTGTCCCATGTTGGCAAGAGTGAAACCACACATCCAGGATGGGAGGCAACAATGCCCCTTCAGCTGGCTCTGACAAAGCTAAAGCTGCACCTGCGCATTGGTCGAGATATGTTTGTTTTTTTGTTTGTGTGTTTCCATTCTTCAACGTTGTCGCAAGTATCACATGTTCATTTGCACTCGAGCTCTGGGCTTATGCATGGGGCACAATCGAGCCACGCGTATCTTGTTAGAAACATTCGGTACTGCCGGCTGCGGTTCTAGGTTGTTAGGTGTTATTGGTACCAACAGTACCAGCTAGGTTGGGTGTGCAATGGTGTGCATAAGTTGATCGTCGTGTTGGAGGCTTAACGTACGATGTGAGATATCATTTCCAGCTGTCGCTAGACACTGCTCTCCCGGCCTTGTGTTTAGTGGAGCGAAACATGCGACCGTTCGCGAGGACACGTTTTGGGGCATGCCTTGTTAGGGGGGAGAGGGTGCGCAAGAAAGACAGAAACGAAGAGAGAGAGAGAGAGAGAGAGAGAGAGAGAGACGGACCAGTACACTGTTCTGAACACACCGGGGGATGTGCAAAACATAAGTTACTACTGTGCTGTCTGTGTTGGTTTGGCAAAGCACATGCCCCGGGGAACTGACGTGTGAGATTTCCGAACGTGAACGGTGATTAATCCCGGTATCGTACTTTCACATATACCTATCGTAAACGAAGTCTAGGTTCAGCCGGGGGAAAAACCTTCACAATCTTCACGCCCTTCCAAAGCCCCACGAACATCGGGGGGGCCCTTAGGGCCGAGGGGTCTCGCAACCCCCTCATGCCCCGGGGAAGAAGACGGACCATCAAGATGGGGGAGACACCACAGACAACAACAACCACCGCCGCCGAGCAGGCCCAGCAGAAGCCACACGAAAGCATGAAGGCGGGGGAGCCACCCGCACGCGCAACAAAGCCGAGAAATACAGAATTAAGAGATGGCTCAAAGCACAAGGCATGTTCCACACGCAGTGGGGAAGCCAGACCAGTCAAACAAGACAGCGACGACAACAGCCACAGCAGACCACCCAGACCGATGGGGGACAGGGCCAACACGGTCCACACCACCACAGCCACACAGGCAACGGCTGGGACCGTTACGACCGTCACCACAACCAACCACACAACAACTACAGACACCAACAGATCGATGTACCCCCGCCCAACTGGCAACGCCCCCAGCTCAGTGACGCTGAGAAAGCCCACTGGGCCCGACTGCTCAACATGGGCCGAGACGGACCGACCACGGCACAACAGACCAGCACCACCGTGGACACACACGACCCCCCAACCCAGACACAGCACGAACCCGCTCCGGGGAGCAAGGCAGACACCTACACCCCACACTGGCACCCGGACCAGCAAGAAGGGGGAGACATCCCTCGAAGCTACTACCCAGCCAGGTCACAACAGCAGCCGGCACAACGCACGAGCAGCCCTCCAAGGAGACCCACCCTCGGAGGGGGGGAATCTGCCCCACCGCCACTACCCCATTCCGACCGCACCACAACCACACACACCGTGCTGAGAGCCGGTAAGTGGCTTAGCCGGGTGGAGTACACTGTCGACGTCCCGGCACCACAAGGGGGGACACACCAGCCCCCCCTCCCAATTCCATGCCAATTGCAGTGTACCCGCCTATCAGCGGGGAGACCTGGCTACTAGTAGAGCCCCTCTCTGAAGGGCGATGGTTGGCGACCACCACGCAGGTACCTTCGACCAACATGCAGGAGCCCCACAGCCTCTCCTTGCAAGTGGGTGACCAATTCTTGATCACCCAAGGGGGATCTCACTGGTCCATCCTCTTCACCACCACCACGCCAGATCGCTTCTACACTGCACCAGCGGACAACACCAACGCCGGGGAAGACCAACCAAACACCCGTGCGGAAGACGACCAACTAGAGCAAACAGAGCCCCAAGACGACACGGAAGCTGTTGAGGAATGGCCCTGGCCGTCCCATGCAACACAAGAGCAGCACGGCGGTCCAGCGCCCACACAACACGAAGACCCAGCGGGGCAGGACCAGCCACCACCACCACCGCAACAACCACAGCCACCCCACAACCCACTCAGCGACGGCAGAACACTGCGGCGATCAAGCAGGGAGCCCAGGCCAGATCCCACGACAGGGCCAGCAGGGGGGACCGGCCCAGTGCCATGGTTCCACCAGATACGAGACGGACGGACCTTTGGGGCACAGCGGAGTCCGGCACCGGCGCCACCTCCCTACACAGAGTCGGACAGGACAGAGCTCATGCAAAGGGGGGCGCCTGAGGGGAGCTCTCGCAGGAACGAGGCCACAGACGAGCCGACGACGGAAGTACATTGGGATGGCTTCGCTACAGCCATGTTCCAACAGCTGCAGCTGATCCGGGAGACTGCAGAACTGACACTGGGGAGCCAAGCACTGCTCACCATCATAGATGTGGCCACACAACTCGTCATCACGGCGAACCCGTATTGCCCAGCAGCATTCAAAGTCCTCCGGCTACGAGGGGGCTCCGACGTGCACTGAGCGAGCCCAACGCCCTAGTAGAGGCACTCCGGCAGATCCAAAGATTCAGGGTCTCGAGGGGGAGCACTCTCACTGCAGGGGATTATGGCGAGGACCTAGCACAAGTCCTACTCATGGTGGAGACCGGGGCGGTCCAGCTCCACCAACCGATGCCAATTGGCATCACTCATCACCGCATCCAACATGCAGCACGGCAGCTACAGCGAGCGGGGGACCTACTACGCTCGGCTCGTGACTCGGCGTTCAACGGCAACCTGGCTTGGAACACGGCGAGATACTGGGAAGAACTTCACGAACTCCTTCAAGAAGGCGCTACCTTCCTGGAAATCAGGGGGGAAAGCTTCCTCTCTACGCGACCAGACGCCACTGGCAGTGAGGAACCGCTGGCGCACCCAGCGGATGCCATTGCACTACGCTGGGGAGCACAAGAAGCACCAGCGAGGACTAGCACTACAGCAGGGGCCGCTACCCTCCTCCGCGAGGCGGCAACAGAGTTCCGAACAATCATACCCACCCTGGTGGGGGAGCAAGTTCCGCTAGCCGTGCGCCTCCTACAAAGTGTTGAAGCATGGCAGCAAGCGCAGTTTGGGGGACATGTGGCGGTCCATGACGGCACGCAGACTACAGACGATGCGGAAGGGGGGCTACCGACTCTGGCGGACCACGACGACGGCCACTCCAACGAGCACGAACGAGCACGTCAGCGAGCACGTCAGCCACGACGACACCAACGAGCCCGACGGCCCCGCCAATGAGCTTCGCGACCTCGAGGGGGGAGACACGACCCGGGACGAGCAGAACGCCATGGCAGCAGAAGGAGGGGAGAACACGCGCCCCTTGCAGCGTTTCTCTCTGTTCGGCAATGCTACTACGCCTGCTGAAAACATCCTCACGGACAGCTTGGTCAATGACATCAACGCGGCGGGGGACATGCCAACCCAGGCCTATGATGAAGAAGGGGCCACAGCGTCGACACTGCCGTGGGGGACAGCAGCCTTCCCATCCCTGGAGCCGGCACGATTCCGGACTTCGACGACACGCCTCCCTCTGAGTACCGACCAATGAGGGTAGACAGATCCCCAAGGAGGGATGATGATGACGGAGGGAGTCACCGCCGAAGGCGAATCCAGGGAGCACATTACGGCAGGCATGGCCCATACTAGTATGGGGGAGTTGCAGAAGACACAGTGCACCCTGGTCGCCGTGCTCCTAGTCTCCCTTGAACTTTGTTTCTCGCTCCGAAATAAAATGGGGGACGACTTTGATGCCTGTAAAGCAGGGTGCTGACATGTAGCTTACTTTTCGGCCCGGGCCTCAATATGAACATTCAGTCGTTGTCTATGATTTGGGGGAAGCCTTGTTGCACTGTTGTGAGCCTGTGTCGGAGTAGGGGGACCAAGTGATCAGTACTGCAGTGTGTCCTACATTGGTTTGTGCAGTGGTCGCCCTAGCCCGTGTATGAAGTCTGGAAGGCCCGAGACAGGGGGACCCACACTTGGCCTGCAAGTCTTTCTCTGTACCATAGGGAAGGCAGTGTGGGGATCCTGAGGCCCAGTATTCGTACAGCCGAGCCCTTGGGGGAAAATCCCTTGAGGGAGTAAGACCTCCCGCGACAAGCGGGTGTGCGCGCGCGCACGGGGTGATCGGCCTGGACGCTGCCGTGATCCCCAAGCCCGGAAGAGAGAGAGAGAGAGAGAGAGGAAGACATTAATAACGAAAAGAACACGGAAAGACACTCAGACAGAAAGAACGAAAGAAAAACTTACTAACAAAACACGGAACGACAGAGCGAAAGACTGAACGAAACGAATGAACCAAGAAAGAGACGAAGGCACGTTCTCGAATAATTGCTATGGCAGCATTGCGGCTGAAGCTGCAGGGCTTTGGAGCTTGAGGATGTAGGGTCGTAACATTTCAAAGTTCAGGGTTGACAGATCTCCAAGCGAGCCCCATTATTGCGGTGGACCGTGAATGGTTTTTTGCTTGCGTGTGATAGCCTTGTTGCAACAGTCCAACCAAGCTCGGACAAAGGGTTTCCAATTTTTCTTTTGGGTGATTTGAACTACGATCTCTTCCGTGATGACCCCGCACCTGACCGGGGAGCTGCAGTTCATGCAATGCTCTCGGTACTTGGTCTCACGGTGTAGCCTTCAAACAGAGAACCATTGACTACGTCATCTGCAATATTCTGCAATGATGCTTTTGGGCGCATGTCCGCTTGTCCCTCCTCTGAGCACCGTCCCTGGGGAGACCATGCTGTGCGACTTGATCTCCGGGAGATGCTCCGTGTGGATCATAATGTTGTGGTCTGTGATGTCTGGTTGCCGCGCCCCGCTGGCCCTGCTCCTGGACGAAGGTGGCGTCGAGTTGACTGGTCCCGCGTGCTCCGCCGCATGTGCTTAGAGAACCCGGCTGCAGTGGCAGCACAGTTGGATTCCCACAAGCGTTGGACGGCGCATCATCTGGCGTCCCGTTCTTGAACCGCCTTGCTGCCACACTCACGAAACCACGCAGGGCGCTCAGATATTTGGGCCCGAGGTGAAGGAACTCCGTCGCGTCGGTCGATTTGGAGGTCAGGCGCCGTGTGTCGTTGCAGATTGTGGAGGCACGCACGCTTGCAAAACAAGCGTTGAAACGTCAATTGTATTTCAGTGCGGCTTCGGGAAACTGGCAGGCCAGAAAAAGGCTTGCAAAGGCCGTTTCTCTCGAGGCTTCCTTATGGCTCATGCTGTTGCAGCTGGGTGGGGATCGGTCAAAGCGAGGTCAAGACGAACAAGTTCTCCCCTGAGTTGCATTGCGGTGATGTTCTTGGAAAGCTTGCGCAGTTGCCGAGATGTTGAGCCGCCCTTCACTGTCCCAGAAATCTCGGAGTGTTTGCGGCGTACCATGAAGATGAACAAGACAACAGGCATGTCCAAGGTCAGCGTGGAGTAGCTCAGAGCCTTGACGGCACATTGAAGTCGGACTCACGGCCTGCGAGGGATCTTGAATGATACGCCGACTGGGCCGGATCTGCTTGTGCAGTGTGATCTTCTGGTTGGGTGCGTTATTCTCCTGCCCAACAAGCCGCAAGTTCGCAGCGCAGACATGTTGCGTCCGTCCGATTGTTCTCGGCGAGGTTGCGGTCAAGCTCTTGACTAAGTTGTGCATTGCCAGATTGTTGCGTACCTCGTGACCTCACCAGGAAGCAGTCGTGGTTGGTGCGCCTGTGGTGGTTGTCAAATTGGACATCTCCGGCGCGCACGACAGCTTGAAAGTTCAGGCTGTTGTCGATTGGTTGGTGCAGCGTTGGGTGGCCCATCCGGGCAAATCAGCCAAGCTGCTCGTGTTTGTTTTGACGCACAGCAGCCTCATATTTCACATGTTGCAACAGGAATGGGTGCAGTTGCAGACGATAGGTACCCGCATCTTGTTGCTGACCCGTACCAGACCATGACTGCCGCGTGGGAGGACCGAGGTGAGTGTGCTGCTTTCCTCGCTGGTTCCTTCATGCTATGGGGCCTGTGGTTTGTGGATGACAACACCCCTTTCTTTCGCGATGTGGTTCAATATAAGCGACTGATGCCGGAGTTCGTCGTTTCTTTGCGTTGTTGGAGCTGAAGGTGCAAAAGACGTGCACTCTTGGACTGGTGGCCCCATCTGCTGGTACGACTCTGCCGGCTTTTGCTCGCGTCCCTGAGGCCAAGTTTGTTGGGGCCACCTTGTGTTCTGAAGAGGGCTCTGCACGCCAACTGCGTCACATTGTCAGTCGGGCCATGAGTGCTTTCACAACAAATCGGCCTTTGCTCGTTCATGCAGGGGTCCCGCTCGTTGGGTGCTTTGTGTGCTGCCTTCGTGTGCTACATGTGACGTTGATGTCCTGGACCTTGCAGGCGGCTGTGCACACAAGTAACCCTACGCCTGAGGGGCATATAGCGCACTCCAGGCACGCAGTCAAGCTGTGGATCCAGCTTTATTCTGTCGTGTAAGATGTGTTTGCATGTTCGCATGGTATGGGACTGGGCTGAGCACCTTTTCCGGCGAGATCTCAGTATCAGGCCATTTTCCATCCGTTTCACAGACGCTCGTGGAGTCAGAACAGGTCCTCAGAATGTTTGTATATATTGGTTACAAGCAGTTGGTGACTTTCCTACATAGGCAAAGTATTCACCCGTCTACCGCTGCTGATCGCCACTTGTGGGCTGAGTATGCTGATTCGTGGGTGCGCTACTGTGGTTTTTGCGCCCAACCGTGCGGTGAGGTCACATGGCAGCATGATGCAGATGCTTACTTGGGTATCGGCTGGGTCAATGTGCAGGGTACCTGAAGTGGTCAAGAAGTTTGGTGCCTTACCGTTGACGGTGACGCTTGATGCCTTAGCACGTTGAGTTGGCGAGATGGCTGGGTGCATGTGTCATTGAACGGTTGTGATCTTTGGCACATGCTTCGGGTGGTGGTGGCCGATCTGATGCCGCGGACGTTCTATGTGCGTCTGTTAGTTGAAGCTGACCCTGCAACAATCAGTTCGTGTAAAGATGCATGTGCAAGTTCAAACTGGTTCGTGAGGCTGGAGTGGTTGTGGAGATTTCGTGTTTGAGTTGTGAGTGGACCGCGAAAGTGAAGGCAGAGGTGTGTGCCTGGCGTATGTCGGCATTGCCCGCTGCTTGAAGGGCGGCTTGCTGATTTTCGCTTTTGCGAGAGGCCTGAAGGGCTTTAGCTTCATGCCTTGCCTGGCGCTGCGAGACCCTCTGGATGCAACGGCAGAGAGAGAGAGAGAGAGAGAGAGCCCAGAGGAAGAAGAAGAGAGAGAGAGAGAGAATGGGGGAGGAACCTAACCCTAGTACTGTAAAGCTGAGCCCTGGGGGGAAAAACCCGCTACGGTGCAAAGACACAACCCGTGAACTGCGGGTGTGCGCTGCGCACGATTTTCGGGGCCGGGACGCTGGCCTTGCCCTCAAGTCCGGTAGGGAGGGAGAGAGAGAGAGAGAGAAGCAACCGTGCAGACCTTCAACAGTCGGGCTGCTCCCGCGGGGGCACGCCCTCAAGCCTGGGGAAAGAAAGAGAGAAGCAACCTCAAACCCCCAAAACCAGAGTTGGTCCAACATCTAATGCTAAAATATTACCACTACTTGTGTGCTCGTTAGTGTTTTTACTGCTATGACTGGTTAATTTTTGCTACAACTACTGCTACTACTATTACACTGCTTGTTGTTGCTTTTGTTGCCGTTTCAGTTTTATTATGGTAACAACTTTTAACAACAACTCAGCAGTCCATGTACTTATACACTTACAGCACTATAAGATGATATGCACAGACATAGTATGGTACAAGCATGACCTAGTTCTTGTATTGCATTGGATGATTATATAGAAGACTGTATTGCGATGCCTCATGTTAAATTGGTATTCTGTCACAAGGTACAGCATAAGGTCATGGTAAATCAGATTGTGACTTAAAACCTACATTTTCTACAGTAGCTGGGTTACTTTGTATTATGTAAGCTTTGCATAGTAACACGGTAGCATACTCCATTCAATGATGAAGGCATGAAGACGTGCTTGCGGGGGAGGGGGAAACAAGCCACCCCCTTACCCCCCAACCACCCGCCTGCGCTGAAGCCAAGCCGAGCCTTCTTTTAGACTGGCCCCCCCCCCCCCCACCCCCTCCCCCCCTTACGCTCAGTACTGTAGCTGCTGCGCTTTACTTTGCTATCCGGGTCACACAGTTGGGCCAGTACTTCAAGGACGATAAGAGCACCCCCAATTATTCCATCAGGAACGACTATTACAGCAAGCAACGCGTAGGAAGGCTGTAATCACATACTAATCAAAAGAAACCTGGCAGCTTTTGTCGGTGGCATGGGTTTGAGTTTGGGTTTTTAATCGAATAGCATTGTATTGTAAAACCACAAGATGCTTGGTGTGCAGCAGCTACGCCACAACGCGCAGCACAAGGAACCACCCAGCAACATATGACAGGTAACATGGTAGATCCGCATAGATCAAGCTCGCCATCGATGATGAAGGCACGCAGGCTTTGCATTCAAGGCGTCATTCTTGGTTTCGTAGTTGTTGCAAGTCCTTTTCTGGCAGGCTTGTTAAGTCACCCTAGTCAATAGTTCGACTATTGCCGTTGTCATTATTACGGTTGCTTTGATGGCCAATCCTAGTATGCTGGCTTTTTGGAGTATCAGTGCGATGAGTATTTTCACTACAGCTGGGAGCACACTGCTACTGCTATTGTTCTTACTACTAGTCTGGCCTCTGTCACTACTATCGTATGGTTATCACTCTTACTACTGCTACCAGAATTCTTATTGTTGTATTGTTGGTGTCAATGCTATTCCTATTATCGCTTTTGATTGATTAATCACCACTGCTATTACTACTACTATGATGTTACAAAAATCTTTGTTCGCACCCATATTTCTATTACTGTTGCTAGCTATACTACTCTTATATTATTTACCATTATTGCCATATATTGCCATTATGATGATGATGATTGGTAATAGTTGTAGCCGGTACTACCAATATATTTTGACTGTTCCTGAAACGTTTACTAGTAGCATTATGGCTACGGTCACTGCCGGTGCTACTATTCCTATGATTGAAGGTTCGCTGTTGTCACAACAACCGCAACAGCAACTACTACTACTACTACTACTACTACTACTACTACTACTCCTACTACTACTACTACTACTACTACTTCTAGTACTACTACTACTACTACTACTACCACTATCACTGCTACCACTACCACTACCACTACCACTACCACTACCACTACCACTACCACTACCACTACTACTACTACTACTACTACGACTACGACTACTACTACTACTACTACTTCTACTACTACTACTACTACTACTACTTCTTCTACTACTACTACAAAAACAAAAAAAACAACAACTACTAGTACTACTACTACTACTACTACTACTACAGCCACTACTGCCGGCTGTAACCCCGCAACCTCCCCCACCCTCCAACCCCCCTAAACTTCCGGCCCCCTGCACCCCCACCCCCAGCAAAAAGGAAGAATGCAAAATTCTCCACCCTAGGTTCACGGCCACTTGTGCTGTCTTCCGGCTGCATGAGCCATATGAGCACGTATATCTCCTGCAAGTCATGGTAGGTCTATTTCGGCACATACACGTTTTCATCTTGCGCTATGACGGCATGTCCCACGCGCATGCACATTTTGCTGGCCAAGGCAATGAAAAAAAGAAAAGAGGATGACAAAAGCAACATCGTGTTTGTAGGCGGGTTGCGGAAGAGCACGACGGAGGACGGCAGTGGCTGGAAAACAAGACATGTGTTTCGAAATGCGCCTGCTTCGCTTGTGACTTCGAAGGATAAAGTGGCTGGTCACTTTTCCAAGTTCGGCCAAGTCGATAGTGCGGTGGCCTCGTCGCGGCCGTCGCGTGTGCAACCGAAACAGTCATGTTTTCTACGCAGTCGAAATTTCGCTGTGCGATGCATCAGGTCGACATCAAAAGGCTACCAGACGGCACATCTCGAGGGTTTGCCTTCGTCAAGTTTGTAGAGGCCAGGGATCGCAGTTCAAAAAGGCAACAGGTTTTCAAGTTGACAACTGCTTCCTTGGCAGGTTGAATCCATTGCAAAGGTCTTGGAGGCCCAGAGTAGCCACATGCCACTTGGCTGTTGCAAGTCATGCTTTCTTCACCCACAGCATATCCAGTTCTGACAACATCGGGTGTGTGGGTGTGTGGGTGTGTGTGGGTGGGTGGGTGGGTGGGTGGGTGCGTGCGTGCGTGCGTGCGTGCGTGCGTACGTGCGGGCGGGTGGGTGGGTGGGTGGGTGGGTGGGGGCGAGTGTGGGTGGGTGGGTGGGTGGGGGCGAGTGTGTGGGTGGGTGGGTGGGTGGGTGGGTGGGTGGGTGCGTGGGTGCGTGGGTGGGTGGGTGGGTGGGGGTGGGTGGGTGAGTGTGAGTGTGTGTGTGTGCGTGTGTGTGTCTGTGTCTGGGTCTGTGTCTGTCTCTGTGTCTGTCTCTGTGTGTCCCTGTGTGTGTCTCTGTATGTGTGTGCGTCTGTGCGAGTAAGTGGTGTCTGCATGCATGCTCGGCCAAGGATTGACAACAAGTGGGTGGCAGTCAAGCCGCACGGTGGAACTGCATTCACCGAAGATAAGAACCGAGAAAGAGCCAAGGCAGGGACATGTCACATCGTGTTTCCTGGAAAGCTATGTAGGTTGTATGTGATACACTATGAGACTAGATTGTGTATCTGCGTATGAGTACATCACCATGTCACATCATACCATTTCATATATCATATCATGCCTTATCTCACGTTTACTTTACATGACCTTATCTTCTTTTATCTTAGCTTCACCATCATCACCATCATTCCCGTCGCATACGTTTTTGCATGGCATAGGTACATAGATACATACATAAGTACATACATACAATCCATGCATGCATACATACACACATGTGTATGTGTATGTGTAGGTATTTCAGGTATCTTAAAAATATGTACATATGTGCGTGTGCATGTATATATGTATATATGTCCGTGCTTTTGCAGGTGCAGGTGCCTCTGCAAATGTATATACTTATACCGTATACATGTATGTATGTGTGTGATGAGGACTACCTGAAAATCGTACTGGGTGTTGCGGAGTGATTCTGCCTGCCACTATTTCCAGAATCTATTTTGGGAGTGCGTTGTGACCAGAAAGAAAGCAAATACCAGGAAGCAATATTATCCCAGCACATTCCTTACGGTAGAGTCCCTGAACCCCCCGACAAACAGGTGAACTGGAAATTGATACCGGTATCTCCCGGCCGCCTTCCGCAGTGTGTGTGTGTGTGTATGTGATTGTGTGTATACACACATATACACACATACATACATACATACATATATATATACACATATTGCATATCCATCCGTTTGTTTGTGTGTCGAATTATGTCTATGTTCTTTGGTTGACTGCTTGGTTACTCATGCTTTTTTTGGTCATAATTTGGTTCATGTACCTGTGTACAGATGTATATGGTTACTCGCGTCTGTACTTGTTTATACCTGTATATATATATATATATACATATATATATATATGTATACAAATTTGTGGGTATGTGTGTGAGTATGCATGTGATATATGTTCAATGCGTGTCTGTGCTACTAAGGTCTATGTGTGCACACCTACATTCCCCCTGCATACATACACTTTCTTTGCATACTTCCACATACAGACATGCGGACATACATGCGCAGCTCTTTTCAGACATATGTACCAGCATGTGTGTGTATATATATATATATATATGTATATATATATATATATATACAGAGAGAGAGAGAGAGAGAGAGACATATATATATATATATATATATATATATATATGGTAACCCCCAAAAAAACCCTAGTATCGTAAATACCGTGCCAAACCAGCTTTTCCGGAAGGTCAGGATTCTGTATCTCTCATAGACTACCGAAATCAAACTCACATCTCAAGAAAACGTGTCAGTCAACTCGCTCAGGTTTGGCGTGAAGTCCGGATTCAGTATCTCTCAAAAACTACCGAAGTCAAACTCACATTTCAAGAGGACGTATCAGTCAGCTCGTTCAAGTTCGACGTTTCGACGTGAGCACGCGCTTGACAGCAACACTGTGCTCTTCCTCCCAAAACTAACTTTTTCCTAGGGAAAACCAAAAAACAAAAATTGTGAGACTATGTGGCCAGACTTGAAAAAGATGGTTTTGTGGTGGAAAAGCCAATTTTTTTGTAGGGAAAAGATGGTTTGGGGCCGAAATACAAATTTTTTCTAGGGAAAACAAAAAACCTCTTTTCTGAAACTATACGGCCGGACTCCAAAAAGATTATTTTTTTGGTTTTCGTTTAGAAAGAATTGGTTTTTTACACCAACACCATCTTTTTCCTACGAAGAAGTTGGCTTTTCACACCAAACCATCTTTCTCCTAGGAAAAAGTTTGTTTTTTTTCATAATTGTCTCCTAGGAAAAATTTGGTGTTTCACACCAAAACAATCTCTTTCCGAGGAAAAAGTTGGTTTTTTCACCAAAAACAATCTTTTTCCTAGCAAAAACCAAAAAAACACAATATTTTTGGAGTCCGGCCGTATAGCTTCCTAAAAGATGGTTTTTTGTTTTTGTAGGAAAACATTTGTTTTCCCTTCCAAAACCATTTTTTTTCCTAGGAAATAGTTGGTTTTTCACGTCAACATCATCTTTTCCTAGGAAAAAGTTGGTTTTTCACTCCAAAACCAAAGTTTTCTAGCGAGGAGTGTGCCTTTCATTTGTTTGCGCGCGTTACGAACAAGTGTTGCCTTTAAGGTTGGAGTATTCTTAGTACTGGGATGCGATTCCGCCAACATTACTACTCTACAACAAATTGGGTAGTAACCAAGACCATATTCGGATCAACTTTGGGGTCGATAGGGAGCTGGTTAACACAGCTACCGCTTGATGTCTTCTAGCTGACTGAAGTTGTAAATTAGATATTAAACATAGGGGTCAGATTCTGGGTGGTACTAAGCCTACTCTGGATGGCCTTAGGGCTGCTGCCAGGGCGAATATTACGGTCGCCACTGGCATAACGGCGAATGACAAGGATATGGTTAGGGTTGATGTTGTTTGGAAGCAAGAGTCAGCTAATGAGCTAATGATCTTCGTCACTATGTTGGTACCTAGTACGGGTTTAACCTGGCTCTTTACATTTATGTGTATACAGACACATAAATGTACATACCGCATACGGGCAAGTTTGACAGTGAGAAAGGGACACCATCTTCTATATGTTGATACCCTTAAAATCGAAGGGCCATCCTTTGAAAAACACCAGAGCGAAGAGAGCAAGGATCGCGGTTCTTAATGGAATCCGTTTCGTGAAGATTAATATTAGCATGAATATGACGGCAACCGTTGAAGAACATGTTTGGGCAGTATTTAGCTCACATGTATTAATATTAGACATAATATTAACAGTAACTAGTAATGGGGATGCCCTGGCTTTTAACTTCGGAGATTTGAATGGGAACCCACAGCTACATCTGGATGCACTAACTTGTTGATGAGGCCAATGGCCATTATGTGGGTTGCAGTTGAAGGCAGTATCCGGCACAAGGAACAGTTTATGGGCAATATTAAGTTTAGGTCCATCTTGGGGGGACGGCAATATCCTTACTATCAGGGGGCCAGTCTAGCTGATGTATGTGATTGTAGTAACCTTGTATTAGCTTTCAGCTCGGCGTGAGAGTTGATATGGGGATGTATACATAATGGGGTTACAAGTCGACATAACATGTTAATCCATACGAACAAAGACTTGCACCATTTGTGGGTGAACAGGAAGTGGAAGACTGCTGTCACCATTGGCGCCCATGTAAGGTCTAATGGCAGGGATAGTCTGAGGATATTGTTGTTTAGGAATAGGAGTCAGTCAATGCTCACGGTCATTCATACGTATTGCTGGGGCTTGGATCTGAAACTGTAGCGAAGGCTACGTTAGGAGCTAATGCTCGTGCCCATATTGAGCTTCGGGTATTCCGACAGACAAAACTTTCATCGTTGGAAATCATATGTCAGAGTATCTGTGAGAAGGGTCACAACAATTGAGAATGAAGGCGGCTGCCGATGTACATATGCTGTCCCCTCCAAACATGGAAATCTAACACTAAGCCCGGATCGTACAATAGAAGCCTAAACCTAGGAGGATTGGTGGCATTATCGCTCCACCTCCGCGGTAGTTCTTCGGGGGGGCACATATATATATATGTGATACCCATTATGCGCATTGGTGTCTTTATGCAATTCGGTGCAAGCCAGGTGCAAGTCACGGTAGGTCAGGAGTCTTATGCTTTACAGCGCTTCTCACCCAGCAGCTCGCTCGGAGCAGGAAGCAATCGTATACATATACATATACATATATATATATATATCTGTATACATGTATTTACAAGTTCCCCATACACATACATGCATCAACAGACGCATGCACAATAAAAAAGCTGGCAGGCATAAGTGTGCACAGCAGCTTGCAGTGTCCTGCCTTCCTGAAGTGGCATGCCAAAGAGTTCTAGAGGATGGCTTGTCATAGATATACATACACATGCACACACATACACATGCAAACGCACATACACATACAGACACAAACACAAACGCACGCACACACACACACACATGGGCGCGCTCTGGCGTGCGCTAGTGCGTGCCTGCTACCATGTACCACCTCAGTCCACTCGGCACCTACTACCACATGCCACTTGCCACCGCAAAGCTACTGCTTCTGCTGCCGCTAGTCTTACTTCTGCTATTGCTCCTATTGCTACTAGTATTACTGTTCTTATTACTACTACTACTACTACTACTACTACTGCTACTACTAGCACTACTATTACTACTACTACTACTACTACTGCTACTACTAGTAATTACTACTACTACTACTACTACTACTACTGATACTGCTACTGCTACGGCTACTGCTACTGCTACTGCTACTACTACTACTACTACTATTACTAGGACGACGACTACTACTACCACCGCTACCACTACTACTACGACTACCACTACTACTAGCACCACTACTACTACTAGTACTACTACTCCCACTACTCTAGCTCCTACTAATAATCATATTAATGAAAATTCTACTGCTCATGACGAACTACTAGTTACTAATGACTACCTACTACTTATTACTTACTTACTACTACTACTACTACTACTACTTCTGCTACAGCTACTGGTACTGCTATTGCTGCTGCTGCTACTGCTACTGCCACTGCTACTGTGACTGGCTACCGGCGACTGACTACTGGCTACTGCTACTACTACTGCTGCTGCTACTACTAACTCGCCGACGACGACGACTACTACTGCTACTCTTATCCTACTTCTACTCCCACCGCTACTGCTACTGCTCCTGTTCCTGCTATGCAACTACTATCGCTACTAGTACTACGACGACGACGAGTACTACCATTACTATTACTATTATTACTACTACTACTGCTGCTACTACTACTACTACTACTGCTACTGCTAATGCTACTACTGCAACTACTACTACCACTCCTGCTGCTAGTATTTGGCTACTACCCAAGTTCCTCATGCGACAGCAAATGCACAACGAACCGTACTTGTAGGCTACTTTGTGCCATTCACTTTTGGTTTGAGTGACTGCCCGCATGTCAAGGAAGCAGCTGACCTAGCTCGACAGAAGCAAAAGAAGGCTAGGCAGCGCAAGTTTCCAAAGTTCCAGCTGGCAGCCAACTGTTTGCGGTTGTGCCTGCCACAAGGACGATTCTAGAGTGGAATCTGCCGACGATTACGATGAGAAGTGGTCAGAAAATTATCTTCAGGCAGCAAGAGATTCCGGTTCACGTTTTGCCAATGCTTTCCTCTTCGGCACATCGCAGGCTGCGGCGAATATGGGTGCAAACAGTGGCGAGGATGCAAAGGGTGACGGACAGCAGGCCTTTCGTGTATTGCCGGGGCACGGTTCAACAATTTCAACATAATTCAGCAATACCTTTCTTTGTGCGTTCATTATCGTTTGTTTACGTGCAGGCAAATCCCATGGCCGCGATGGGGGTGCGGAGCCTGTCGTTCACTGGGGCATCATCACCACAGAAGCACACAGCCGTAGTCATAGTTGTTCTTCTCCTGACCTGCAAGGCCATGATGCAGATGATGGGAATGATGCAGATGATGGGAGGTGGCATGCCAGGCATGTGTGGGGGTATGATGAACCCCATGATGAATCCCATGATGGGTGGGATGGGGAAGGGGTCATGCCCGGCTTGCCCCTCTGGTTGTGGATGTGGTTGCTGCGGCGGCTGTCCTGGATGCGGATGCTGCCCCACTAGTTGTCCTGGCTGTGGAGGGTGTCCTGGTGGTTGCGGTGGCTGCCCTGCTTGCGGCGGATGTGCAGCGGGCAGTTGCGGGGGTGGTGGCTGCCCGACATCACCTGTTCCGACAGCAGAGGACGCGGCGTTCTGTAGCCGCCGCACTGCTGACCCGAGAGACCAGCAATCGTCTGCTGCCCTTGTCACTCCAGGAAACCAGCGAGGCAACTGGGTGTGGCCCTGTGAAAAACGAGGGCGGGGCGACGGAGCAACTCAGATCAACGGCGGTTTGTTTTCCTTGAAGCCTGCAACGTGTCGCAGCATGCAGTTCTTGATTCAGTCGTGTGTCGCTGTCGGGCTTTCAAGGCGGTCACAGCCGTACTGAGAGAGGCGAGAGCAGGGCATCCACGCCATATGCACTAGCATACACATTTCAGCTGAGCGGCCGTTATCCCAACGCAGGCTTGAAAGAGTACTCCACGTCAGCATTTCAGCTTGCAGCTGAAAGTGGTTTGCAGCAACGTCTGCATTGCGTTTCGTGGCATCTCTGCAGCATCACTGAACAGCCACCCGCATTATTAGATGTGTGTACGAGACTGGGAGTGTTGAAGCATCGCGAGTTTGATGCGGCATTCAGTGCTGCGCAGCTCGTGCACTTAGACGGGCCTGATTCATGTCGAGCCCAGCATCGCCGTTCGGTCTCACATCATGCAGAAAAGAAGAGGGTGTGTGTGACAAGGCCTCACCAGCCCCTGGGGTGGACAGACAGATGTATCGTACTGACCGTGTCTAACTGTGCCGTAACATAAGACACGTAAAATATTGATAGCGCCACAGTACCACACAGCCTCAGGGCAATCAGTTGAGGGCATGTCAGCATAGCTCCCATAAAGGCAACGTCACATGAAGCCTCGTGTTTCCGGAGTATTGTGAGCGGGCTGTTGCCAGGCTATGGCTCCAGGATGAATCTGCAAAGGGCGGGAAGTAGTGCCTATTGGGATTCGGAAGCATGGAACCCAGATGATCGTGTTTATGTTGGTGCCTCCGAGGGCCAAAAGCTTTGGCCTCAGTGCCTACGCTGCGCATCGCTGCAGGAAGGCTCTGAAGCTTTATCTTGCAGAGCTGCAGTTCCCTGCAGGCATCACCTCCGAGCAGTTGCTCCAGCCTCTTTTCTGCAAGCCCATATTCGGGAGTATCAGCAAGAGCGCGAGCGAGAGAGAGAGAGAGAGACTTCCTCTCCGCCCTGAAGCCTGCTGAAAGAAAGAGAGAAAGAGAGTCCACCTTTGGTTGCTCGGCTGCAGGCCATGTGCTCTGGTACTTGTTGTACATCTTGCCATCTTCTGCTCGAGGCCCCCCATGGACCGAGGGTCACCATTTGGTTCGTTCGGGCACTGTGCCCCGGCTTGTGCCTCTGTGAGAAGGCCTTCTTCTGGCCAACAGGATGTTGAGCACTGCCGAAGTGTCTGTGACGAGATGCGGATAAGCGGGTGCCATGGCGAGGACGGCTGAGGAAAGGAGGTGTCACTCTGACGGAGGAGCAGACTGGGGCGAACCGTCTTGGTGCCGCCCCCGGTGTCCCGACACCCTCAAACAACCCAGAGACCCACGAGACAGACCTGGGGGAAGCCACTGGGGGCCCCCTTCCGAAGGGGGCCGCAAGAGCCTCTTGATGGCAACGACGTGCGGCTCACGGGCCACTGGGAAAGACCGGAAGGTTCCGGTTGAGTGACAGCTCCCCCCGATGAATGAGGGCTCAGTGCATAACTAGCACCCGGCGTTTTACAAGCAGTACTTTAAACGTTGGCCAGGGGATGTAAGGGGGGTTGGGGAGAAGTATCTACGCCGCGGCGCGACGGACCGCTGAGCCGAAAACCACTTGCCGACTTCGGGCCTGAAGCCCTTTGCAATTTATTGTTGACCCAATGCCAAACACGCGACACATGATATGGCCGTTTGATGGGGTTTTCACTGCCGCGCCCTGCCTGCAGTTGTTTCGCACGGTTACCGTTGATGACTTGTTGCTTCCATATGGAAAAGGGGGAGAAGAGCCCCCGGCCAATACTGTGTTTTGTTGCCTCGCAGAGGCCAAGCTCACAGTCCAACAACTCATCCAGCAAGACATTGATTCGGCAAGAATGCGCCCTGAAACAAGTACAGCATACTGCGTGAGAAACGGCCAGGTACCAAGAGATGCATGGTTCGATGAACTGATGTTGCTTTGCAGGGCCATAACCCCACAGCTAGATTTGCAAATTGCTTTTAGGAGGGAGTGGGTGTCGCAGGCACTTAGGAATGGCCATAGAGGGCGCGGTGACGAGGCCGGGATGCGGACTAGTGTTCAGGGCGGGGATATGCGACAACCACACGCCACCAGCAGTCTCGATCGAAGGGATGAACATCATTCCCTAATGGCCCCAATGCCTCTGTCGGAAGGAAGGAAGAAGAGAGAGAGAGAGAGAGGCACGTTTCACACCAAACTCGGACACTGGCGTAGCGCTCGCGCGCAGGGGGGCAGGGTTCCGCGCTCTGCTTCCCACACGCCTTGCAAGCAAGCAAGCAAGAGAGAGAGAGAGAGAGAGAGAGAGACCGTCCATGGGTTAGTTACAAACGGGGGAAAGGCGAATTCAGACAAACATGCTTTTTCACGCCCCTCCAAAAGCCCCACAAACATCGGGGGGGCCTACAAGGCCGAGGGGTTTCGAAACCCCCTCATGCCCCGGGGAAGAAGACCGTCCATGTTTTCATAGTTTCGTTCGTCACCGGTGTCTGTTACAACTCTGCTGCCAACTTCATCACAATGTCGGCCCGACTCGCGTCCTCAGCCCGGCACTCAGCCAGAACTAAAGTTGTCAATCTCCTGCTTGGTCTCTTTGCAGTACGATCATGTGTCATAGCATCTATTGCTCCTTCCTTCTGTTCCCCGGCCTTGCAGCGCGGGGAATCCTAGAGTGCAAAACCCGTAGTAACAGTATCATGCTGCAGCTGCAGGTACGTCTTATTTGGCTGCACAGGGGCTGTTGTCGGTGCAGTAGGTCCAAGGTGTTTCTCGACTGGTCAGATGCAGCCTCCGCTGACAGAAGACATGAGTTCCAAACCGATGACCACCCAATTGTTGACCGTCTTCTATCACAGTATGTCACAGTCTTGTTGTTCTATGATGATCCTGGCCACCGGGGAACTGCACGGTCACACCATGTTACGTTTCAATCCGTGACCATGTAGTCTTTCACGTGCGGGAACACATGTACCAACATCCTACTCGCACTGTCACTTCCCCTGTTTGTTATGTTGTACACTCTCTGTACTTGTGTTGCTGCAGTCAGTGCCCGTGGTCCCCTCAAGTTTCGGCAGACGGACATACCTTCCTGACTAGGGGTTACTGGTGGGTCTGTTGTCGGTGCATTCTTTCCCAGGTGCTGGTTGAACCGTAGTGGGAACCCTCTACCGAAACATCAAAGATCTTTCGGAACAGTGACAGCCAGCCTTTTGAGCATCGCCCTGTCGAAAGAAGGGTTCGCGGACATGCGCAGTTCCCGTGAGAGTGCTACGTGCCCCAAGGAAGACAGAGAAGGGATTAAACTTGAGGTTTGTGCTTGTGCATTCGCGTGGCGACTTGACACTTCATGCAGCGTGTGAATGTCATGCTTGGAACGAGGAAGCCGGTGGGTATGGAGAAGCTTCCCACGTGGAGCAGGACATCGGTATGTTTGCGTAGAGCTCTTCAGCACGCGGGCTTGTCGGTGGGCGTTTCGACATTGCTTTGTTTGCTGCTGCTCGGGGCCTCAGAGCAAGGGTCAAAACAAGCATGCAAGCCTAAGTCACAAAATGTCACAAGTAGTTTGTATCATACCTAGCTGCGTCCAGTTTACTGCCTTGCATGTTGCTTAGTTGCCGGAATCCTTGTGGTGTCAGTTACTCATATGAACCTGAAGACTCAAGAGTATTCAATACCTGACACCCGCAAGAAGTGCGCCCTGCCGTGAAGCCCCATGTACTCATTGCGGGACCGCGACTTAACTCCATTGACGGAGGGAGCCGCAGCATCCCAGGCCGCCAAGGTAGAACCATGGCTGGCTGCCTTGTCCGGGAAGGACGATAGGGCAACGGAAACTGCACGGTCAAAGCCTGCTTGTATGCCAGCTGCTCAGCTGTATGGTAAAGCAAAGGCGCGTCGTGATGAAGTACCGCCATTGACCACTCCCGCTGCGCGGTCAAGCGGCACCACGTCGGCCAGACAGCCTGGTGAGAGGGATGCGGACAAGGGTATTGGGTATGCAGGGGAGTTCGAACAACTTAAAGCACAGCATGCCGAACTTAGGGCATCCTACAAGGAATTGAAGAGTCGGTTTGATAAACGCGGCCTGGAGATATCCAGGCTTCATGACAGGATTCGAAGGTTGGAGAAATCAGCCCAGGCAGTCCAAGAGAAGAAAGAACCCACTGAAAGAGGATCAAGCATTTTGCTTTGTCGACAAGCCTGCTGCATTCCTTTGATTCGTTTGGAGAAGGCTGGGCTTAATGTAGAAGCAGTGCAAGACTTGGATGCTAAGTGGGCTGGCTATGTCTTCAGTGTTCTGACCGTGCAAGCCAAATCATCTGGAATGACGTTGTACGAAATCTTTCGGAAACATACCGATGCACACGGACGGATCGGTGAATCTGCATTCAGAAACTTGATTCGCCAATTCATTCCAACCATGTCGGAGGAACGGCTGACGCGTCTATTTTATTTTGCAGACACAGATGGTTCCGGCATGCTGAATCTTCTGGAGTTTCTTCGGTTGTTTGGCTTTGACATGGATGGGAAAATGGGGGAGGAGTATTTCGAGCATGTCATGGTCCGAATACAGAAAGCTGTCTCCAAGAACGGTGGCTTCATAAACGTGCTGAAGCTCAGTGACAAATACTTGAATGCTTCTTGCAGCCGACAGCGGCTTGTCGATTCGATCAGTCCAATTACTCCGAGCTTGACAAGGGCCGAGATCTATGAGACCACTGCCCGATTCGTTATTCCAACGTCTGGTGAAGTCAATGTGCGAGACTTCAGCGATGCAATGGAGCTTTGCGCATCTTCAGCATTTGTGAGTGAAGATTGGGTGCACAAGCTGTTCAAGCAGGTTTCGACTACAATTCAGAAGCAGCACAACTTGAAGGCCATGCTCAAATCATTAGGCCCGAACGGCACTCTTGGGCGGGAGGATTTGCGAACTTTTCTGCGCCAGTTCCAGCCAAACTTATGCGACAGCCACATCAACAGAGTCTTCGGATTCTTGAGCGCGAGCTGTCCCACCGGAGCAGGAAGCATTACTGTGCATCACTTGCTAGACACGGTTTGCCGACCCACGCTTGGACCTGTAGTCGGTGCAGAGCAGTCAAGGCTCCCGCTTGAGGACACCTCTCGCTTAACGTTGCAGCTTGCGCAGCTGTGTGGAGGATTGGAACAAGCTTTCGATCATCTCAACCCATGCTTGCTGTACCAAGAGTTTTGCACCTCACTGCAATCACTTGGCTTCAGCAGTGCCTTTGACTTCGAGAAGATTTTTTCCGTCCTAGACGTGCATCGCAGCGGCCGCGTGTCAAAGTCGTTGTTTCTCTCAGTCTTGGAGCGCTTTGTTCGGCCGGAAACAGAGAGGTCTGAGAGCGAGGATCACGGATCAGCCCCGCCGGTGTCGTCCAGCTCGACGCGAAAGCCTTTGGAGGCAGATCGAGTGGCGGATGAGTTAGCTGACAGATTGCAATATTTGCGGGAGAGCTTTCAGGCACGTAAAAATGTAGGCAAGAATCCAACAGTTTCTGCGGCAGTCCATGAAGAATTATTGCATGAGCTGCAACGTGGCGTAAATCGTCTTCTGGTCCTCGAATCTGAACTGCAATACCGCCAGCGACAAGAAGAGCGTGATGAGATCCATATGAGAAGAGGACTCGTGGACCAGTTGCGAGACCTGGAAACTGCACACGCGCGTCTTATGGCCAAGCTCAAGGTGCAGGCAGAAACGATTTCAGGTCTCAGCAGTGCGCAAAAGACAGCCACTTCTGCGACTTCTGATGCATGGGAAGCTGGGTACAGCCAAGCCATCGCAGAGTATCAATCTCAGATTGATGAGCTGCAGAAGGAGCTCGACATTGCAAAGCTAGAGAAGCTGCGCTTGCAAACACATTTGTTGGAGAGGGAGCAGAAAGAGCAAAGTTCGCAGGTGAAGTGCACCACAGGCGACGTTCAGCTCTCTGATGCTTCGTCCAGCACAGCTCTCGTGATCACCGACAGCGATGATCGTGAAGATTTAAGAACCCGGGATGATGCAGAAGGAGTTCTGCGGGAAGCTCTGAGCTGGTTCGCACACGGTCGAAAGATTGATGCCTTGCTCTCAAAAGTAAGAGGTATCTCTATTGCTGGCCGTTTCATTGTAAAGGAAGTAGCCACCGTGGAGGCCGATGCTATAACACTGGCATGCGCAGATGCTTTTAAGAAGCGAGAAGTGACACTGAAAACACCTATTGTAGACTGCGTGAAGACTCGTGCAAATTTCTTGCGCGAATGCTGTGTCTACACGGCACTTTCAGATGTGGCGGAGGTTCAGGCCGTCATTCATTTTCCTGGTCTTACGGCCGGGTTGGCATATTGTGTTATGGAGCTCTTACATGGAAGATTGCTCTCGCAGCATTTGCAGAGGATCCGCGCAGGCCCGGCAAAGGGATTGTGGCAAGAATGAGCAAGAAGAGTGGTAAGCAGGGTCTTGCGGTACAGTAGCACTAGAAGTCAAGTTTGAAATTTTCAGTGGCTTCCATGGAAGCAGGATTTTGGAAGGTCTTCCTTCGTTTGCCCTGAGGACAAAGAATTCAGCCACGCCCAAGCTATGTACCAGGCAAACATGCCAAAGACGATAGGAGCTCCCTCAGAAGGACTCTTTCTAACAATGCGAAGTGCCTAATCGCACATGGCCTCCCCCGAAGATCCTTGAAGGTTCTTTGTAATCACTTTGTTGGACAGGCCTCCCCACAAAGTTGTGGCAGATGTTTTTTTGTTCCACTCTCGGAACACGATTAGTGTTCCACCCTGCCGCTCCGAAACAAACTGTTATATCAGTTCTGGGGCTTGGGGTGAAAATGTAAGCCGTACAGGAAATCCAGCACCCGAAACTCCCGAAACGTCGAAACACAGTTAAGCGTTCAGACAAAGGCAGATCTCGTTGATTTGAAACCTGCAGTTGATAACGCTCGCGGCCTTAGTAGCAAGACCGAAACAGGCGCAGAAGAACCATTTCCAGCACACGAAGCCGCCGACATCTGCGATGCGATGCTACATGGAATCGAAGCATGCCACGTACGGGGCGTCACCCACCTGGACTTGAAGCCGTCCGTGATTTGGGAGGTAGCACAGCCTGCAGGAGTCGTTGTGAAGATCTTGGATTTTGGCCTAGCCCGTCTGTCCAACTTGGCATTGCTCCCTCCAGATGCACGGCAGTTCTGCAGGCCAGGTGGACATGAAGATGGGGTCAGCCCGCGTCTGCAGTTTGACGACATGCCGGAAGCATCGCTACCCGCGAAGGACTCTTGGCAGCGGCTTGCTCCATTTGCGAGTTTGCCTGGGGTTGGGTCGCCATGGTACATGTCTCCGGCACGATGGTGCGGGCTTGCACAGAAACTGCAACAGCCGTCAAGCGCTCAGCCAGTTCTACACCTATGTAGGATATACTCCGGAGGAAATGTCTGGCTAGAGCGTGAAAGCGGACAGGACGTCGTTGGAGTGAGCAAAGCTTGTGCGGGCTCATCTGCTGTCCAAGGTGCGAGATGCGCGGCGCAGTTTCCAGAGGGAGTGTATTTCGAGGTGCAGATTCGAAAATTATGGCCGACAGCGATGACAGCCCCCGGCACGGAATTGGGAACAGGACTCGCCGTGGGCTTCACGACGATACCGCCATCTGGGGTTCCCGCGCTTGCTGCTCGTGCTAAAGATTGGCCAGGCTGGGTAGTGGGCTATGACGGCAGGTTCTTCAAAGACGGTGAACAGGTTGTGCCAACGTTGGATGCACCGCAATTTGCACTGCTGGAGTTCCGGCGCCGGAGAGAGGCTAAGCTTGCTGCTGCTGGGACAGATGATGTAGACTGGCCAGCTGGCCCTTTGGGCTGGTCCTTCGCAGAGCTGCTACGAGATGATGTGCTCGGCCTGCTCGCGACTTCCCAGAGCTTAGTAATATATGTGAACGGACGGGTTGTTTCAAGCATAGTTGCAGATGGAATTGGTGATCACGGCCCTTTGTACCCCTTGATCGAAATGTGCGGCGTGATGAGGGAGGTGGCATTCTTCTCCAAACCTTCGGGCCCAGGTGGTGAAGAGGAACTGGATGAGCGATTCAGGACGAAAGATCGACAGGTCACAACAATTGAAAGTCTGGCTCCCCGGTCTTTGAGTCATTTTTCTGACGTGTATGCTGCTGCCGTAATCGCAATGCAGCTCTTCCAGAGTGATGTTCAGCCAGAAGCTGCCCCGCCTTTAGTCCAACTCCTGCTTGCGACCCAGATGTGGCTTGAAGATGGGCGGCCACCCATTGCCGACCACAATGGCATGCTCGTGGCCCTGAGTACCTGGGCAGTTGCCGTTTCTGAGCAGACCAGCATATCAGGCCGCCGACTGCCTGCTGAGATTGAGGAGGTCATACATCGCGTGTTTGAATCCAGTGGTGTCGCCACCAATGCAACCTCACAAGTGATAAGAACAGCTGAGGAGTTCCGCTCTGCCCTGAACGAACGGACAGCTTGCAACCATGTCTCTCAAGAGTTCTTGCGAAGTCATATTTCCCAACATGTGGCGCCAACCTCAAGGAAGCGAGTTCATACCAAAGGAATGCAGGAGTCTGGCTTTGATCTTTCAGATGAAGCAGAAGGCATGCGGTGGGACTTGACCCCCTGGACGCTGTCCTCCTCGCACATCCGGCGCGTCCTTGTAGTCTTGCAATCGCCGGACAGTTTGCACATTCGATCCGTGAGCATTGGGAGACTGGAAGCAAACGTCCCTGATGAGTTGCAGCTGCGATTCGCTGAGTGCTTTGAAGGCCCAACCAGCTCATGCCGCGAAGCACGAGAAGGCAGCTCAAGTTGTCATCGGGCTTTACCTCGGCTTTTCTTTCGCGAAGACCCGCTCCCGACAGACATGTGCCCCGTGTCTATGAAACAGCTGCTGGAAGCCAATGCTACCGGCTTGCTGCTGCGATTCGTTCGGCATTTCGATCTACAGGCAGATCTCGAAGAAACTGGAGACTCCGACTTCTCTGGTCCGGCGGCTGCCAAAGTGATCGGGACTGCGCTGCGCGGAAACGGAGCCCTAGAAGTGTTGAACGCAAGGAGCCAGCATTTTGGTGACACCGGTGTCCAACACATCAGCAAAGCATTGACACAAGGATGTCGGCTGTGTCGGCTTGACCTGTCACAAAATCGGATCACGCCAAGTGGTGCTCAGTTGTTGGCACAAGCGCTGATGAGTTCTGGCTGCACAGTGCAACACCTGGAGCTTTGCGGCAACGAATTCGGGTGCACCGGCAGTGCATACATGGCCGATATGCTACAAGGGAATGACACTTTGATTTTCCTGGGGCTTCAGCGGAATTCGATTGGTTCTAGTGGCGCCGTTAGCTTGGGAAGTGCTTTGGTGAAGAATTATTCGCTGCAAGAGCTTGACTTGGGACGAAACTGCGTGGGAGTTTCTGGCTCTGCCGCATTGGCAGCCGCCACGCGCTCCAACTCGTCCTTGCAATACTTGAACTTGCAGGACAACCAGCTAGAAGTTATGGCCGGGACGAAGCTGGCCGAAGAGCTGAGTGCTGGTCTACAAAGGGATCTGGACGGCTTGTTGGATGCCTACCTGTCCAAGGCCACCATGCCGCGTCGATCTGTGAAGCAACGCGATGGACCCACGGGTAGCCGGCTCGTTAGTTTGAATCTGCGGCACAATGCTCTAGGCAGCTTGGGTGGAGCTGCGATTGTAGCAGCTCTCCAGTTCACACGTACACAGCTGTCTGAGCTCAATCTTGCTTGGAATGGTTTGGGCATGGAGACTGCAGCAGCTCTGGCGGGCCTGCTCGGAAGCAACTCCATGTGCAAATTGACCAAACTAGACCTTCGAGACAATCGGGGCCTGGGCGTTGGAGCAGAGCTACCCAAAGCGCTGGGCGGCCTTGTGGCGCAAATGGCGAGTGCAAGTCCTGATGATGAAGGCAGCAAGACCCCAAGGTCTGCTGGACGACGCTCCTTGAAACGAGACGACCAAGATCGCATATCTGAGGTTCAGCTATCTGCGCAACACCTTCGAAGCCTGAACTTGGCCAACACAGGCTTAGACAGCGAAGGAGCTCTCCTCATTGCTCCGGCTTTAGCTGTGTTTTCCAATCTCGAGGAGCTTTACCTCTACAACAACATACACCTCGGTTGCGCCCCACGGACAGCTGAGCAAACCTTGGCCTCGCAGGATGAATGGCAAGACCGAAGCCTGAAAAACAAGAAAACTCCACTCCTATCCTCTGATGGCATTTGCCACCTGACTCGCTGCTTGCCTCAATGCCTGCTAAAGCTGGCGTTGGGCTCCTGCTCACTTGGTGCAGGTCTGGGTGCAGACTTGCTGCAGATTCTCACGTCACATTCAATGTTGCAAGATCTGGGCCTCAGCGACAATGATTTGGGAGATGACACTGCCGGAGGTGAAGAACACCTCCGCAGTGCCATTTGTAGATTTGTCCAATGCTCGCCGTGCCTGGTGAGCTTGGACCTGGCATTGAATGGACTGGGTGACGAGTGTGCCTTGAGCATCATGTCGGTCATGCAGGAAGACAAGCTTGTCAAAGTGAACTTCAGTGCCAACAATCTTTCCCAGAGCTTCAAGATGTTGTTGCATGGGGTCTCGGCCGTGCAAGTCGCTGCAGCAGATGTCGATGCTCCCCTTTCCAAGGCTGATTGCTCATTACGAGCTTCACCCGACTAGCCGCTACTTAGCCTTTCAGATGTAATTTCTTTTGCAGTCAGATGAGAAGGGAGATGAGGCAAGTGAAGCAAGGACGACAGCGGCACAGAGGGAGAGAAAGTTAGGAGCTGTCGTTTCTCGACCCCATTTTGTTACAAAGTTGCGTTCTCATGTTCTGATGCTTGTTTGCCATACATTGCAGGTGGCAGAGGAGCTCGCGCAGATCCTGCAGATATCACCCGGTATGAGCGAATATTTTCAAGCAGGGTGAGACATGAATCTTCACGGCATCTCAAGAAGGGCCTTGCCCTGCTGAATTCGAAAGTGGCCTGCAGGTTTCACCGAAAAGCCAAACTCGCTAATGCTGCTCAAGGAAACGGGCTGAATCAAGTCCTTGTGTTTCCGACGGCTGGGGAACAATGAGTGTCACCTTGACAAGTAGAGAAGATTTGGCACAAAGTGCCACCAACAGGATGGAGAAGGCGTGAGAAAACCAGAGGCTATGCTGCCTGCGTTGCTGCGTTGAGCCGACGCCTGCGGCTGTGGATTCGGAAGCAGGTCTTAAAACTCCGGTGATGTTCTGTTGCAGGCAGTGGGTCACCAGAGTGCGCTGCACACGCTGAGTGCCAAAAGTGGTGATTACTGGGACTCTGCTGTGGAGGCACTGAAAGACACTTTTGCCCGTTGTCTTTACATGATGAGATGCCCCCTCATGTCGCGAGAATCGCTGTAGCTTCGGGTGCATGCCGGACGCGATGTGATTGGTGTGTGATTTCTGGGTCGGGAAGCCTGGCGATGGAAAGAAAGGGTTTCGGCAGAACTGGCATGCTCGGGGAGACAAGCTGGACGGTGACCCGGCGAAGGTTTCCGGTTGGAGTCAATGCTGGAGAGCAGGGGGGTAACAGATGAAGGGGGCATGGGGACAATGAGCCATCGGGCTCTTGGGGGTTATTGTGGCAAGGCAGTGCATGAACACATCCTTCGAGCCAGTCAGTTTTTTTCTGCCAGCGGCAGTTGCCGGTTGCCAACCAAGGTGGAGGTATCTAAGCACGATCAGTTGGCGACAAAGTTTCTTGTGCTGTTGCAAGCGGAGTACACAGCTCAACAACCGCACCAGCAGCAGGAGCAGCAACAACAATAACACCAGCAAACTACAAACAAAAACTGCGGCCCCGTCAACCCAAAGACCTGCTTTTTATCTGTGCGTAGAAACAAAAACAGGAGCCACATCATGTTCTTCTACCACCCAACAACAGCAGCAACAACAACGACACAGCCGCTTTAGTGCACAGAGTTCTGACGGGATTTAGAAGGTTCAGTGGGTTTTGCAAGGGTTTCGATGGTGTTTAAGCGGGGGTTTGAGGGTCCACAAGGGCTTTAGAAGAGTGTTGATGCGTTTGTAACGGGTTTCAAGAGGTTTCACCATGGTTTCAATTGGCTGTATCACGGAATTTGATGCGTGTTAACAGGTTTTTTCTAACTTTTACAAGGGTGTGTTAGACAGGCTCTGATGGCTAATGGGTGAGAAGGATGTATAAGGGCTTTAGAAGGGAAAAAGAGTGGTAACACCATGAAAAAGCGCTTCCAAGTACCGTTAACACCCTTCGTGCAACCCGAGAAAAACTAGGCACCCGGAGGGAAGAACGGTATATGTCTGCAGGGTCTTATACCTGGAATGTGCGGCGAGTGGGTGGTGGGTGGTTGTTGTAGAGGCGGGAGGGGGGGGGGGGGCATCGCAACTACAGACGGGGCTCCAGGTTTTGTCTCTAGCAGCAGGTAGGGACAGAGTCCTGATTTCAATGCGGCCTTTGTCTAAAACAGCGGCTAGAGACAAACACTGGAGCTCCGTCTGTCGTTTTGGCGCCCACCCTTCGCAACAACCACCCGCATTGAACACCATTTCTATCATGAGGGCAGCTGCTCTGATACGGTGGTTCGCATTCCCAAATTCAACAGGCACCCTATGAGGTCTGTGGAAGCATGCCCAATTGCTTGTAGTTCACATTTGTTACGGGCTGCTGTTCTTATCTGCACCAACAACAACGACAACGACAGGAGCAGCAACAACCACAACAACCGCAACCAGAACAAGAGGCCGCGGCTCGTGGCTGTGATTTGGGTTGTTGTGATTGGGGCTGTGGCCGGGGCCGGGATTTCGATCTTCTCAAGCACTGCCCTGGAGGCCCTCCAACAATAGCGCAGCATCGCAAGCAAAGAAGGTCGGTCGGACAGAAATCACAGCAGGCAACTCACAGGACAACCACGGGAAAGCCACAGGAAAGTCACACAGACCCACAGCTAGAGCAGAATCACTGAATTAATCATTCAAGCGTTTCCAGGGTTTGCATGCCCACGACAGCAGCAGCAGCAGCATCAACAGCGACAACAATAGCAGAGCGGGCTCTGCTCACAGCGGGCGAACTGTCTCGGCCTTGGCACCAGACTGTACAGAGATCAAAGCTATAAGGAAAAGGCTGAGAGCCAAAATCATTGCATTGAGAGAGCCCTGTCACCCGTTGGCGACGAAGTAATATCTGGCTTCCACCAATGGCATGCTTTTCCTGCAGCACGACACGAGTGCGAGCGATCATGAAAATGCAAGAATGCCATCGGCCGGTCCCCGCATTGCAGTGCTAGCGAAGCCCGCCTGAACTGTGCATGCATCATTTGCGGCAACGCACCCAGTATGATCACTTGCGAGAAATAAAAACCACATCTTCAGCAGGGTCTATGCATCAGCGCAGCAGTATGGCTGGTGTCATGAAGCGGCAGCAGTTTCGCTTGGTGGTTAAACAGCCTTCGTTACCCTCAGTGTGAGCCGATGCGTTCATTGCTCACGAGCCCACCGGGCCGGAAGGTTACACAGTTGCACACTCGGTGTGGCGTGGGAAGCAGTGCTTGCGTGGCTGTTTGCAAGCTTGGCAATGCAAACTTGTGCGCAACACACTCGCGTCAGCATGTCGCGGATAGCTGCCAGGTCGCACGCACAGGCATTGCCGATTTTTCTGCCAGACGGCGGCTGGATCTGAATGAACAGTGCACTTGCGGCTGCTCGCATGCACAACACACGCAATTCGATATGCAAGAAGATTAGGAAGCTTGTGTCGTGATCGTAGGCGAGAGAAAGGCAAGCAAGCAGGTAAAAAGCGTGGACCAAGCAAAGAGTCCTCGAGTCAGTCCGGGGCGATGCCCCCTAGCTCGAGGAAAGGCGGTGCCTTGCCCATGCAAGCAGGCAATGCATCATCATCGGCGACGCCAACTATAGACTTACACCACTACCGATCTTCCCAGGCAGACCAGTCATCCCACTGATCCTTCCAAGGCTCACCCTGCAGCTGGATCTTGGCGGTTGCGTTCGCCCGATGAGATCTTCTTCCGCCTTCTTGGGGTCCCCGAACTTGAAGCTGGCCAGCCTTCTCCGAGGTGGTGAACTGAACGACGACCCTTGGAGTGGTTGTGGACCTTTGCAGCCGAAGCATCATAGATCGTCTGGAAGGCCACCGCAAAAAACTTGAAATCTTCGGGGCTGACCCGCCGATATTTCAATAACATGCGGATGCCATTCTGGAGCAGGGAGTGGAGGCACCCAGGTGGTCGGCCTCTTCAACATGCGATGTTCTTCTCCCAATTTGGCGCCATGCTCATCGGGGATCGGGACCGTCATAGCCACCGTCAGTAACCCCATGTCATTCATTCCTATCCTGCCCGTCAAGAGTGCCAGGTTCCACAGTTTTGATACATGGGATGTCGGACATTAACCTGGGAGACTTGGCCAAGGATTTCATTCTTGCGCGGCCCAGACGGTCGAGTACCCTTCAGCGCGAAGGAGTCCCAATGTTCCCGATACCATCAATGACCGGAAATCAGCCACCACGTGCAACGATGCACCAAAAAAATTCGCGCTTGCCTAGTTGGTACTGTGGCTGCGCTTGATGTATGAAATCAGTCCAACTTTAATCGGGCTGTCTATGAAGTGCCTGAAGAAGGCCTACAAATTGGCTTCCGGCACGTCCCTCAGCAACCAAAGCATCCAAAATGCTAGGAGCGTTGAGAGTGGGTGGCCCCGTGACATACTAACCGCAGCCCTCCGATGTTGCTGGGACTCCCCAACTACTCCATTGCTGCCAGTTTCTTTCAAAAAGTCCTTGGAAGCTGCCAGCAGAAGAAAGGGTGGGGGCTGCTCCACAACTTCAATCGAGTCATCATCCCACACCGTGAGAAAGGTAGCAGAGGCAGGCTCGGCCATGATACCGAGCACAACGAACTTTCGTCTGACCCTGCTGCACCACGGCATTGCGCTGTAAAGGAGATACTGCCCTAACATCTGCTGGAAAGACTGTGGTGGGTCATATGGGTCACTCCAATGGACACAGGATTGCAGGAGTGAAGTCATTAGCTCCGGCTGCGCCTGAACAGGTGAAACCATCCTGCGCCCTGGCGTACGGTACACTGTTTTGGCAGGTCAGCAGCCAAAGGTTTGAGCCGTATCTTGTGGTGCCCAGCTGCGTTCCTGGCGGTGTCGAGGAAGATGACGGGTCTCGTGCAACTTCCTCAAGTGTGTCACGGAGCAGCTTGCGATTTTATGCAAAGGGTATGTACCACCGCTGGAAGATACGAGCTTGTGTCAGTACCGTATTGGTAGCAGCAAATAGAAAACGGTCCGCACATCTGAGTGGCCGGTCTTGACAAGATGCCATAAGCTCGGCATATAAAGCACTTTCAGGCGGTGCGCTGCAGGTGCAGCTGCAAGAGCTTTGTATGTGATAGTCAGCTATCCGGCTCGGTGTGGATGCCCTTCCGCCTGCATAAACTGGACTAGTTCCCAGAGGATGTTCTCAGGCGACATGCTTTGCCATTTGTTGTTGACGGTACGTTTGTCAGTCAGCGTGGAGTGCAACTGGTCGTTGGGCACAACTTAGCATGGCCACCGGCGGCGTGAAGGGCCCCGCGGGCAAGTGCCAGCCGTCGGTACATCGTTCTCCTCACTGAACTCCCCACTATCAGTCGTAGGAAACTCTGTGCTCGACATGGCAGACGGTTACACCAGCGGTTAGTCTGCTTAGCCGCAGGTGCCACTCTTCACGGTGAAGTGTCGAACCGTCTCTCCTCCCCTCCTCTCAATGAAATTGCATCAGCAAGTTGCATCGTTCACGCTAGGACATCTAACTCCCAGGTGATGATATGATGGTAGATGCTGCATCTGAATTTCTGCAAGTCCTGCCCATGCACTGGCATCACGGAGTTCCCACTCTGCAGTCGCAGTGGGTGCTCCGCAGAAGGGCCGGGAGAACCGGTGGCTCCAGCAGGTACTCCGGAGTGAATGTGCCCTGGCGGTAGTCCTAGCTGCACTGCGTGCGAAATACCCTGTTGCATGCTTTGCGAAAGGGTCTGTTGCGAATGCTCTGATATGAATTCCGGTGCTCAGGCGGTGTCGCCATTCGCTAGTTTCGCCGCTTTAGGCCCGGGCCCGGTGCTACTCCTTTCACCCTGCGGACGAGTGAAAACCCTACCCTTTCTCGACGTGATAGTCATGCGTCACGAGGCCCGGGATACCCAGCGAATAACAGAGGCGCTGTGCTCCAGTGCACTCAATGGCTCAGTCGGTTGGACAGCCCTTACGCTTCGCGAAGCGAGCCTGTTGCGAGCCTCTACAGTTGGCACCCGGAGCCTGGTTCCTCCCGTAATCCGTGGCAGCTACAATAGCAGCAACAACGAGAACGACGACGAGGACGACAACAACAGCACCACCACCATGAGCAGCAGCAGCGGCAGCAACCACAACCGCACGCTACAACAGCAATCGCAACAACACAGCAGCAACAGCACCAGCAACAACGAGAACGACACTACGCTCACAACTGATCATTGTTTGAAGCGGATGGTGAGGCTGCCGACACATCGCCGCTGCCAGAATCCGGTGGCATCTTGCACCGAGCTCAGTATTCGGAGCACTCGGGTGCGACCAGGGACGGCTGTGTGCGCCGATGTCTACTGCGCTTTGCTCGCCTCTATGACTCCATAGTTTGAGTGTTGATTTCTGTGTGTTTCTGTGCGTGCATGTGTGTGTGGGGGTGTGACACACTCCTGTTTACAAAATACACCTTGAATATGGCTCTGTAAAATGGCCAACCGTAGTTCTCTATAAAATGGGTTTGGTCATTTTATAGAGGGTCATCTTGTAGAGGGTATCTGTTGGCGGGTCATTTTATAGACTTGTTGTGTTCTCTTGCCAAAATCTAGGGTAACCCAGGGCTGTCATTTTATAGCCAGAAGCCGGTCGGGAGGTGTGAAACGATGACATCCATGGTAGCACCGTGCATTGTCATGTCGGTTTTTCCGGGTGACCCTAGGGGGTCATTTTATAGCCCCACAGGTTTTGTCATGGTGTATTGCAGGAAGTTCAGAAACCCTGAACCCACAAACCTTGAACCCGAAACCCCTAAACCCGAAACCTTATACCTCGAAGTAGCCCGCAGCCCAGAAAGTCTAAGCCCCTCCCCGTAAACCCAGAACCCTTACTTATAACCCGTAAACGCAGAACCCCCACGTCCCCAAGCCCAGAAGCCCGCAACCCAGAAACCCTAGACCCAGGACCATTAACCCTGCAAGCCGCCGGAAACCTGACCCCTAGACCCTTAAAACCAGAACCCCCAGGACGCAAACCCGCAATCTCGCCCTCTACCCCGCGCCGGGGCCCGGGGGCACCGCCTGGCACAAATCGCCGAGGGTGGGGGGAAAAGGGTTCTTAGCCAAGCCCGGCGATTGGTGCCAGGCGGTGCCCCCGCGCATCCGGATCGCGTCAGGGTTTCGGGGTTGCAGGCTTCTGGGTTTAGGCGTGCTTCTGGGTCAGTCTGGGTTTAGGGTTTCTGGGTGGCGGGCTTCTGGGTTTAGAGGCTCTGTGGCACACTTGCGCGGTTTCGCGGTTGCGGGCTCCTGGGTTTAGAGGTCTAGGTTTTCTGGGTTGCGGTTTGTATAGGTTTTGGGATTTTGCGGCTCATTCTCGCGGTTTCCGGGGTGAGGGTTTCGGGCTTCTGGGTTTAAGGTTTAGAGATTCTGGGTTGCGGGCCTGTAGGTTTTGGGGGTTTGTCGATCATTCTCGCGGTTTCGGGGTTGCGGTCTTCTGGGTTCAGGAGTTTAGGGCTGCTGGGCAGGCTGGATGCAAAAAGGGCTGCTGGGTTGCAGCTTGTGGGTTTCCGGGTTTTGTGGCTCACTCTCGGGGTTCGGAATTTAAGGCTTATATAAGGCTTCGGGGTTGCGGGTTTCTGGGTTCGGGGGTTTAGATGGTTTCTGGGTTGCTGGGTTTTGTGGCTCACTCTCGCGGTGTTCTTGCATAGTTTTGCGATGTTGAGCAGGTAACCCTCGCAGGCCATTTTATAGTATGCTCTTGTTTTGGCAACCACCTGGATCGCATCGATAAGCCTGGTGCCATCGGGCAAACGAAAAAAACAGCGGGTGCCCCCGCCAGGTAATTTCATTGTGAATATACTCGTGGATACCATCACGCAAACTGTTTTTTCATTTTTTCCGACAACCTGGGTTAGTCATTTTATAGACTGTTTTTGTTTGTTTGTGTTTTTTAGGGGCACCCTGGTGGGCCATTTTATAGACCACCACTTGCTTAAAATGGCTCACCAGGGCATTAGGGAGATATTCAAGGGGTATTTTACAAAGGATTCTGCATCAACCGTTTCAGCACGGGGCATCAGTCCACAGATTACGAGTTTGACTGACAGAACGAACATCTCAAGCGGGGTTGATTTCCGGGTGTGTTGCGGTGAAATGACCCAAGACGTGGAGTGGAGATCTGCACAAGTGTTCGCCGTAACAGCAATAACTGGATCCAACTCATGGAAGGAAAAAAACAGAGACATACGCTTTGTACATCTAAAGTAGGAAACATGGAAGGTTTAGGGCTTAATTTGGTTGAATTCTGGTTCAATAGAGAAATATAAGGCGACGCGAGTCATATATACTGTTCTGGCAGTTCGTGGTTGGCCGATAGATGCCGTGAAAAAAACTGGGGTTGGGATGGTATCATGGTGAGCCCTCGCATGCTGCGAGATGGAATGTCACGAAATTCTGGAAACTATTTGGGGTGATAGAGTTGCTTGGATTGCTTAAATGGCAATCAGTAATCAGGTCGGAGCTATTTTTGAATTGAAGGGGTGTTTAAAAGTGGGATGCGTGGCCTCTGGGCCTGGCCCACCTTCCCTTTCCCGCCTTTTCACTTTCTCAGTTGCAATGCAGCCGAATTTCAGAGACCGCAAATAGCCGGAAAGTCCCCCCAAGCAGCGCCCAAAGATCCTAATAATAAACCATTAAGGATACAAAGCTATGTGCATAGACACATACATGCATACATACATACATACCTGGCTAAATAATAGTTCTATTCGTCGTAGTAATAAGAAGAAGAAGACGACTACTGAAAAGCATCATGATTTTGTCTATTTTACGTTGGCTTTTCCTATAATGTATCATAGGTTTCATCCTTTGCTTGTCCAATTCACTCCTGCTGCTGCTTCTGCTTCTGCTACTGCTGCCTATGGCTACCACTGCTACTGCGACTGCTACTGCTTCTGCTTCTACTACTACAACGACGACGACTACTACTACTACTACTACTACTACTACTACTGCTACTACTGCTACCACCACACCACAACCACCGCCACTACCGCTGTTTCTCCCCGGCGCGGACAGCCTTGTTAATCGTTGCTAGATTTACCGGACCCTTCGGTTTCATTCTACCGGCTCAGCTACAAAAGCATTGTCCGAATTCTGCAAAGGCACGGTATGCTCGGAACGCAACACGAATGGTGTCCAGGCCTTTGCGTGCTCACCAAGCTGCTTCAGCGACTGGAGGCTGACCACTGTTGTCTATGCTGCGGGAAATTCGAGAGTTTCCCTTGCAATGGCGAAGTTGCAGAAGCAAGAGCTGCCAGAGCAGCGCATGCCTCAGACCCTGCACCGTTGACAGGCAGTTTTCCGAAGGCCGATGGTTCGGGGTAATGGCCTGAGACGCGATTTACTTTGGGTTGGGGAGATGTGGTGTTTTTCCCCATTGGGCCTACTGCTCGGTCATGATCGCCGTTGAGGGATGACACGGCAGGGATGTTGGAAAGTGCATATTTTGTCAGCTTTTGACCCCAATAGGAACAGCAAGGCCTTGGCACTAGACCATAGTTGCAGCGGGGCCAGAGAAGCGGAAAAATTCACTGGACACCAAGGCAAAAACAGAGCGCGACGCGCGGACCTCGACAAGCCGGGTCACCAGGTTACGACAAGCGGACGCGACACGTGAAGGCTGGTGAGAGAACCACCGTCAGGCACACGGGACACGAGGACGCGATGCAGCGATATTGAAGATGAATATACAGGGCTGGCAGAAGCCTGAGCCACAGGATAGCATCGCTGCGACACTGGGACAGGAGAGGCCAAGACGCAGACGCATGAAGGTCAGAGCCAGGGACAGCGACACACAGTGTCACAAGACGAGACTAGACAAGCGAGACACCGAGACAAGCAATAGCCGACACCATGAGAGACACGAAGACCGTACGGACACCCGACAACGAGCGCTAAACGTCTCTGGAAAGACCGGCATATCGGCACCGCAGGAACAATAGCCCAGCCGGAGAACCATGCATCAGATCCTGCTGACCATTGGGGAACAAGTCTGACATGAGAAGGTCTTTGGGTGTTGTTGGCTTCTTCCTGCATGGCCAGAGTTGCAGTTAGAATGCGCGTCCAATGAACCGCATATACTCAGGTACTGGGATGGGTATGCTGACGGTGCAGGCCCAAGTACCGGTGAGGCTTAGTCGAAATCGTCCTTGCACACGGAGCCAAAGGAATCCGGGATCCAGCTGGGTTGCTGTGGCCTTAGACATCATGAACGTGATATAAACTGATTGGGTCGAGTTGCACTTATCTCTTTTCACAGACTGGCCGCGCCCCTGGCCGAGCCATTGATAGCTACTGAAGCCGCTCACTCCATACAGGCTCATGACCGAGAGCAGAGCGCATCCAAGGCAGCTTTTTACGATTCCAGGAACAGGACCTAAGGTTAACTTGCCGAGCTTGCCAGGGGTTCTGCAGCATGTCAGCAGAAAGCACCCGGATGACACACCTTCAGTGCTCGAGAATCCTTGTCAGGTTGGGTTTCTGTGAAGGGCAAAATTGCCCGCTGCTCCCTGCTAAATTCATCGTCCTACCTGCATCAATTCAATGTTGGACACATGCTGTACTCATCAAGCGTTCAGGAGCTGGCACGTCGCCGCATCACTGTTAGCTTTGAAACAGCTTGACTTTCTGCTCAATGTGATGTTTCGGGGTGCTCCTTCAGTATCCTCAACTTAGCAGTCAAGAAGCGGCTGGAGCATGTTGGAAGCGCTGCCAAAGCTAGGTCGAAGACACAAAACGGACAAAGGCCTGCTTCCAAGCCAGAGGCTGCACTTTCCCACCATATGTTAGAAGCTGAGGGCATTTAAGCGTTGTCGTCATCCATCTTGATGCTGTTCGGCGCAGGGCCAGAAGAGCATCAAGAGGATCAACAGTGGTGCTTACTGGGATGCGGAGCAATGGGACCCGGACCAGCGCCGCATGCCCAGGACAGCCTTCTCAGCTTGCACTGCCAAGATTTGCTCTGTGAGGCGTGTACGTGGGTGCAGAGGCCGGGCTCAAGAACCACCTCCAGGCTTGGGTGCTGCGTGTGCTTGTCCATGCAGTTGTGATGGCACACTCTGGGGCCAGGTGTCGCATCAAATTAGAAACCCGCCTCATGCGCTCGGTGCGATTCCAGCCAGCGCATCTTTCAACCGGACATGCCAGAATGCCAATACAGCTTGCCTTGCACTTTAGGAGCTTCGCCAGGCTGGTCCTGATTACATACCTGCAAAGGAATGCCGCCGCCTACGCCGCACTCAGTCGGAACAGACATCGCATGACAACGGCACCCGGCAACGATAGTTTCTGACAGAGAACCTGGCAGGCAAGCATCATAACCATCTCTGGGACTCGCCGCACACATTACGGATGCGTGCTGCGCGTTGGACGTCGTTCCGGGGCTCGGACGAAGCAGCTTGGATTTTGCTTCTTGATCGGGGTGGATACGTTCACTCAGAGGAACCCATGTAATCCTGCGAGCACAAGCAAATGCAGCACAGTGTACTGAATGAAAAGCGCGATCGATCGCGCAGTGTGAACCTAATGTGGGGGAAATGCTTCCGCAGGCAGTCGACCCATGCAAAGACACCGTCGACGTTTGGCGAGTATGGGCGTTGGCCTCAGCTACACGGGAACACAGATGCAAGAAAATGTATGAGCTAGAGCGCCACTCGACACTGGAGGCTGGTGGTTTGGCAAGTCTGGCGCTAGGCTACGGCGAAGCTGCCGGACCACCGACTCTTGGCAGATTTCGTCTGGTTCATGCTCTCCGGCCAGCTGTCCATGTCCGGTTGCAAGGTGCCAGCCGGTCGTTTCACATGTCTCGTGATGCTCGACATATCGAATCTGTAGCTGCTTCATGGGATTGCCACGCCGAGAACTTGAGACTGCTCATGGTCGTTTCATGCTCAAGCATGTAGTGCATTCCGTGACTGAAGCTTGCGAAGCGAGCTGTTGCACCAAGTTTCTCGCATGGCGAGTGGCAAAGCTCACCCAGATGAGCCAAGCCTGTGGAATGACAATGATGACAGCGCCAAAATCGGGAGACTTTTCGCTCAAATCAAGATCAGATGGGACACTTTTCTCGCAGAAAAGCTTGGGCGCAAGGATCAACTGTCACACGAAAGTCAGAAAATGAAAGAGATTGCGGCAATCATGCGTACATTCGACAACGGTGTGGTAGAGGAGGAGGAGGAGCAAGACAAGATTTGGGTGGACAGTGCAGCGTTTGACATAGTCATTAGCTGCATCATCGTCTTGAATGCCTTCATAATTGGCCTTGAGACAGATGTGAGACGCGACTCGAAAGAAAGAGATGCTAGCTGGATTGTGGCTGAAGTTTTCTTTCTGCTCTGCTTCTTGGGCGAAGTTGGTCTCAAGATGTACTACCATACGTGGCGGTGGGCATTCTACAGTTTCTCCAACATACTAACGATCTTCATCTGCTTCATGGCCTTCATTGATTGCACGATCTTGAACCCCATAGGAGTATCTGGCGTGCTTCGAATGTTTTCCATGTTTCGCATTGTTGGCATCTCGCGGCTGTACAAGCTGATCAAGAGGTATCGCCGCTTGGATGAGCTCCGGCTCCTTCTGCAGAGTTTGAAGGATTCGATGCAAACGCTCTTCTGGACTGTGGTTCTCCTGGTCGTGGTTCTCTACATTGCTGCCGTGATTCTAACACAGCAGATTGGCCACAACGTCGAAGTGTACGGCAACTACCGAAAGCTTAGCGGTGGCTGGGATCACGAGGAGTTGTTCGGAACAGTGGGGCGAAGCATGTTTACTTTAATGCAGGTCATGACTTTGGACAGCTGGCTCAGCAAGGCCGGGCTGTGCACGGAACATGTTGGTTCCTTGTCTCGGCCCCAGAAACCCGAGGTTTGGCCAGCCCCTGCGATGCACCTAACTGCGCTCGCCGTATGGCTGACTTGAACGAAGGGTGCGACGGTGGTGGGAAGGGGTTGGGGGTGGGGGAAGTAAGTGCGAGTGTCTTCCTTCGATCAGTCGTTTGAGATTGCAGTTGGGCATGCCCACTGGTTGCTTTCATGCTAGAGCTCTCACGGTCCCCAGTTTGTTTACTGAGTTTGGATTGTATGATTCACTCGCTCGTGGTATGCAAGTGCATAGATAGATAACCTCGAGTGAGTCCCTCGAGTGTGCTAAAGATGAATATTGGAAATGTGTCTAATATATATATATATATATATATATATATATATATATATATATATATATATATAAGCTCCCCCCCCCCCCCCCCCAAGACCTACGCTTTCGTGGTTCTTGGGGCATGGGGAGCACGAAACACTGCTATGCTCAAAAAAATCCAAAATTCCTAACCCTGAAACTCACGAAACACTGTAATGCTAAACAAATTCCAAAGATTCCAAAATTCTGGCATCTATGGGCCAGGACGGGGGCAGATTCCTTAAAAGTTTGGATTTTTTTAGAGCATAGCAGTGTTTCGTGAGCTTTGAGGCAATGAAAAGTTGGTTTGTTTGAGCATTACAGTGTTTTGTGAGTTTTATAAACCACGAAACACTGCTATGCTCAAAAACTTCCAAAATTTCTAACCCTGAAACTCACGAAACACTGTAATGCTAAAAAAATTCCAAAGATTCCAAAATTCTGGCATCTATGGCCAGGACGGGGGCAGATTCCTTAAAAGTTTGGATTTTTTTTGAGCATAGCAGTGTTTCGTGGTTTAAAACTCACAAAATACTGTCATGCTCAAAAAAAATCAACGTTTGACAGACTCAAGGCTCACTTTTCTTGAGCATAGCAGTATTTCGTGACCTACAACTCACAAAACGCTGTAATGCTCCAAAAACATATCCACTTTTCACAGCCTCAAAGCTCGTTTTTTTGAGCATAGCAGAGTATGAACAGTCCTTCTTCATGTTTGGAAGGCTGCAAGAGCTCTCTTACTTTTTGCTGCAGACGAGCCTTCTTGTGCGCCCGCATATGCACATGAACCTTTCAACTCCAGGGGAGCTTTCCCATTTCTTATGAGGCAAAGAACAACTATTGGAGTATCGCTTCAGAAATAAGCGCGCCCGTATATTCGACTTCCTTCATGTATAATGGACAGGACATGAAAGGAGCTCTTTGTATTTCGTAACTCATAAATCAAACGCTCGAGCGATTAGGCCGCATCAGAATCGGACGCTTCACGAGCAGCGGGAAAGAGATGGCCCACGCACGCAGACGTCTGCGTAAGAGAGACAATAGTTTTTTCATTATTGGAGGAATGTTGTTAAATAACACACCATAAAATGCAGAAAACACGAGGGTTTTTAGTATTACATGAACAAAACTAGCACGCCCTCCAGCATTTCAGTTTCTCCAACACATAAACTACCATAAATCCGCGGCCGAGATTCGGCGCCAGATTTTTACACATATCAAACCCGCGCCTTGCAGCAGCACGGTTTGCATGCACATGAGGTAAAGCACGATTGTATCGGTATTTACGGTGTTTTCGGTATATGTAGTCGACCAATGTAGAGAAGCAACCTGTGGAATCGTGTGGAAGAGGCGGGCGTAGATCTTGGGGGGGGGTGACCATATATATATATGTGTCAGTATATTTGTATAAGCAGTTACACGGTACGCAGATACTAGCGGCTGATACGTTCGTCGGTTGCCGCTCGATTCATCTGGATTCATCGATGCTAGTTTATTCTCTATAGACACACTTCGGGTGTGGAAGATGCTCAGAAAAGCCTTGCTGTATCTCCTTGTCTTGCGGTCGCAGTTTTAATCAGAGTGTTGAGTTTGAAACGAATGCATGCATGCATTCATGCATGGATGTGTTTTGCTTTTACGTGTTACTACTTTCTTACGTGCATATACGCATGTGTATACATTTTTACGTATATATATATATATGTATATATATATATATATATAGATACATATGTATGCATTGACCCGGGAAAGTGGGTCCCGGTTTCGTCCCCCCTCAAGCCGAAATTCCGAAGCTTCTGAAGACGAAATTGTTCGCCAGGAGCTGACCCTAAATTTGTGCGCGAAGACATGATTTCAAGACCAACTCGGTCCTGAAGACGAAATTCGGTTTGGGGCATGCTGAAGACGAAAATCGGTCGTGATTCGTGATTTCTCGCCAAGCAAGACCCTGCGCGGAGGATTTTAGGCTCCTGCATACTCTTCCAAGACAATTCAGCCCTGCAAACGAAGTCCGGAAAGTCGGCCGCGTAGACGAAATTCGGCCGAGAAGACGAGAGTCGGCCCTGAAGACGACAACCGGCCACGAACGAAAGCCGGCCGCGAAGACGACATTCTCCATCCTCGAAGGTCAAGGTTTGTAAGAGTCCTGCTCTAGCAAACAAACAATGGCCGAGCTCGGGGTTTCAAGGTCCATCGGACTCCAGAGCTTTGAATCAGCGGCAGCCATGTCCACCTTCGGAGTTCAAGGATTGTGAGGCGATTCAACATCTCCGTTCTCGGAGTTCAATTATTGCATGGGCTCTGCTTTGCAAATCATAGGCGCTTCGGCCGTTTCCATGCGCGAAGTTCAAGGTTTGTAAGAGTTTTGCTTTAACAACCAGACGCCGAGCTCAAGGTCCATCGCCAGTTAGACCTTGAAATTACAGTGCTAAGCTTTATTAAATGACCGGCGTTCCAGCCGTCTCCACCTGAGTTCAGGCTGATAGGAATGCTGATTTTAGAATCCGGGGCCCCATCAGTTCGATAATGTTCTTGATATGGCAGTTTTGATTTTAGAATCCGGGGTCCCTTCAGACCAAGGCTCCATCCTCTGAGTTCAGCATAATAAGGCTCATGCAGGTGTTGATGTGTTGCGGTCTGTATTTCGTCATTGCAGATGGCTCTGCAGTGCTCAGGCTGTCAGTGTGCTTAACAAACACGTCGTTTTCAAGTGGGCTTGGTTCGCGCCGCTTCTCGAGGGCCTCGACAAGAATATCAACGAAGTTCATGCCTTCCAAACTACCATCTTATATCAAAGTCTGCACTTGTGTATTCCAGCACATTATGGCCCCCGCCAAGCGCATGCACTGCATCGTCTCAGAAGGCGTTTTGTGCATCTGCTCCTTGCTCCGGACCCGCGACAATAATGGGCCCCCGCCGTTATGACACGACGATGGACTTATATCGGGCATATTTTGCGATAACCTACAGTGCATTGCACGATCGCTGGTTTTGCTAACGCTGACCCTAGTGCCTGCAAGCATGAGCGACCTGGTCCTTAGAATACTGCTTTTAGTTGGGTTCAGAAAGTTTTCCAGCATCTAGGGTGGTGTGATGCCAACTCCAAGCCAGACATTCGTGACTCGCAGCTCAAAGCCAGGGATCGATTCAGTTGGGCCGCTCAAACACCTGTGATTCACGCTATGTACTGCTTGCCGCCGCCTTTGCAACACGAGTGCGTGTGGCAGACTTGGCGTGATGCTTTTCGATCTGCTGTTCCATGGCTTCGGACCATTCTCACTTCTGGGTGATATAGGATTTCGGATCTTAAAATATGGGGCGCCCCATCAGTGCAAGGCTCCATGCTCTGAGTTCAGGGTGGCAGGAGCTCTGTTTGAATCATGGGTGCTCCATCAGTCCAAGGCTCCATCTTCTGAGTTCAGGGTGATATATGAGTATACGCGTTCTGATTTTCAAGTCAGGCCCCATCATCAGTCCAAGGCTGCATCAGTTTGATTTCAGGCTGGTTTGATTTTTAAAATCAGGGGCGCTCCTTGAACTTCCTTGAACTCAGAGGATGGAACCCGGCACCGAGTTTAAGCTTCAGCGGATTGGAACGCCGAATTTCAGGGGAGCATTTTCGGCGTCAGGATCTGGGCAGACCAATTGTTTAAGTTTCAGTGAATTATTCGAGCGCCGAATTTCGGCGGCAGGCACATTGTCAGCGCCAGGCTCGAGGCAGACCGAATTCAAGCTTCAGCGAATTCGAGCGCCGTCTTTCGGCGTCAGGCACGGGCAGGGGACCAATTTCGGCGCTGAATTTAGGCGTCAGGAGCATTTCAGGCGCTCGGCTTTGGTGAACCGAATTAAATTAACGCGTCAAGACCACTTTCGGCTTCACTCGCTAACCGGATCAAATCGCGGCGGCGACTGTAATAGTTAAGCTTCAGGGGGTTTACGCTTCCCGGGTCTTTGTATACATGTATGTGCACATATGTATCCCCAAGGTGTGTGCCTGGCAACTGTACAGTTACCATTTGTTATATATATATATATATATATATATATATATATAAATACATACGCATGTTGAAATGACAGGAGATGACATGATAGGATATGACATGAGAGATAATGAAATCGAGGGACAATATGATGATGTGATTTGGCATATCACACGACGGGTTGTTTCAGTAGACTCTCAATCCTATCTTAAGCCCTGTTTCGTGTGACAGGCGTACGTTCGGCATGCTCGCCAGTGTTGCTTTGAACTTATTACTTCCTGCTGAAACGGCTCATAGTGCATCTTGAAACACAGCAAGTCATCACCTCACCCCCCGCCCACTGCTCCCGCAGGAAGAAGCAACAAGCAGGCGCAGTTATCCCCCCATGTGCATAAACGAGACTGCATATTTCCAGACGGAAGCCAAATAATGACACAAAATTATCCGTACGATTGGCTTAAAGTCCTCGTGTCTGTCCAGGTGGTGCGACATGTGGCCGTGAATCAGTGGTACATGATCGCCTTCTTTTGTGTTTTTCTTCTTGTCACGACATTCGGCATCATGAACATCCTGGTGAGTGTCATTGTGGAGCAGACTTTAGCAGCTTCACTCCAGAACAAGCAGCGTCTACGAGTCCGCGAGGAGAAGGCCCAGCGTGCCGAGCTGGACAGTATCAAGGAGATCTTCTTGATTTCAGACACAGACGGAAGCAACAGCCTGGACCGAGATGAATTTCTTGCAGCCGTGAAGAATCCAGAGGTGCAGTGGCGAATGAAGATGCTCGAGCTGCCGGTTGCCGAAACAGTTAAACTGTTTGGCGTGCTCGACGGAGATGGTTCACAAACACTCAGCTACACCGACTTCATCCAGGGCTGTGCGAAGCTCAAGGGCCACGCAATGAGCAAGGACATGCTGGCAGTCATGGCGCAGGCATTTAGTTTCCAAATTGCTGAGCTAAGTATGTGATACAGTCTCCTGCGCAGCAGCATACAGAACTCGTTACACGTCGACAAACGTGAGAAAGCCTAAGCATGCACCGAGTACATGTTTTGTACACAAGCCTAGGGGATAGGGTGCCCTTTCAGGCAGATGCACTTGCGACGAAGATGGACCTTATGGATGATTCACTTGCCGAGAGCGAGCGCATGGTGGCTGGCCTGGATGAGATTTCTTTGCGAATTGTCCGACGTTTTGAGTCTGCTGTCGTGGGCTCTCGTCGCCGCATGGCTCATGCAGCCGGAGGCTCCAAGCCCATTGTCCCACCAAAGCGCGACGGTCCCGGAGGGGACAATGTGCCACTTTCAGTCGGAAATCGACCCAACTTGCCACCCTTCCCGGATCTGTTACGATGAGAAACTAGACTCAAGTCGTCTCACCAAACATGCCATGCTGATGACAGTTGCGTCGGCTTGACGGTCGATCGCACGTTCCTTTCTGGTCGCGTTTTGTCTTTGCACGTTCTGCTGGCTAAGCTAACAGGACAGGAAAGTTGCTGGAATTCAAGCCCTTTGTCGATACCTGCACTGCCGAAAGCGAGCATGAACAATGCGAGGCTGCGAGACTGTACTTTGCACTGGTGATATAGTTGCAGCCTGCTGTCAGCTGCAAGCCATGTTTTGCGGCTTCAACTTTTCAGGATCGACTTGAAGTTGCGGGACCCCGACGACAAGACGAAGCTGCAGGCATGATTGCAAGCGCTCGGTCAGACCTTACAAGTTGACTTCTGTGAGCAACGCCTGGGCTTCATCTCAACTTGCTGGAGGACTTGTATGATATCCTTGACCAGCTCTTTGCTTGAACGGTTTGGACAAACACCGAAACAAAATCGCAAAAATGAAGTGCACGTGACAGCTGAGGTCTGTGGGGTCAGGCAGCTTTGGCATCGTACGACGATGTAAGCACAAAGGCCAGACTCGTTTTCGTGCAGTCCTGCCGACGGGTAGATGTCGCATGACGTGGTTGAAGCTTGGCTTGAAAGTCAGGGTGCCGACAAGTGTCTTGCGTTGTGACCATTGCTATCCCAAAGGGCGCATGTTGGCTCCAGGCAGCCTTAACCAGGAGTTGCCGAAGAGAGGTTTTGTTGCTGCTTGATCTAGAAGCTCCATTGGCAGCAGATGCTGCAGCAATATCGACCACAGCTGATCGTCATCAAACTTCCGCCGCTGTTCGACAGAACCAGACCAGAATAAGGAAGCGAGATCGGCCCGAATATATGTTTTATGAATGCATGCGACGGACTCACCTGACGTGACTGACGCATCTGTTCCATCGTCGCTGTTCAGAGGTCTGGAAGAGAAGACCTTTAAGAACGTACTCTCCGGACTGCCGTGGAGTTAGAAAGTAGAAAGCACGAATGTTCTGTCGAACCATCAAATCTCTAGTGCGTAGGATTCCAGAACCATGAAGGGCATGAAGTGACACGTGTGCCTTGAACACGAACTTCTTCCAGGCCTCATGGCCTCGGCATAAATCTATGTTCAGAGGTATGTGTGAGGTTATGTGTGTATGTATGCATGTAGCCGTTTGCAAACACTTACTTTATAGACATGTATACACAAACGCAATATGTATATGTATTTCTTTCTCTATATATGTATGTAATGGTCTACCTCCGCCTGCTCGGTCGATTCTACAAGTTGTTGCCATATACAAGTACCCGGTTCAGACATGCTGAAAACGCTTTAAAGATTACGGCATATTTGTACCGTCCTTTATGTGTATACAAACCGTGCTGCTATACTGCTATACGTCGTGGGTTCGACATGTGCATAAACCTGGTGTGAATGGCAATTAATGTGTTGGAAAACTGAAAGTGTCGAACGTTTTTGATATGCTATCACAAAACCATACAAAACCCACGTTTTTTTTGCTTTTTCTTGGGTGCTGTGGTACAAGACTCTTCCCGCAACAAAAATATTTCATCTTCTCTGACCATTATATGTGTGGGCTATTTTTTGCGCCGCAATTGTTTTTCCGCCTGATGCGGACTACGGACTCGTGGCTCTACGGTTTGGTGTAATGAGGCAAGGCACAAAGAGCGACTTTACCCTTTCAAAAAATGGAAACGCATTGAGGAGGACTTCTTTTTGTTAGTCCAAGCTCTAGTAGTACAGTAGCTGTTCTTTCGTAAGAAACAGGAAAATTCCTGAGTAGGTGAATGCTTCATTTTCACAGGGCGCATAAGAAGGTTCCTCGATAGCATGAAGTAAGAGAGCTCCTTCAACCTTCCAAATGAAGCAAGGCTAAATACGAGGGGCCCTCTTGATACTCGTCAATCAAAAGTTACGAGCTCTTTATCCTTGCAGAGAAACGTCAGATTGCACTTTTTGCTTGCAGCCTCAAGAAAGCTGTTTTCTATCTGGTGATACGACCTATGACAGCTTTTAAGAGGACAGGCATGGATAACGATCGATACATCTTTTCAGGATATGAGGCAGCATGAATACGATTGAATGAATACCCTTGCTTCAGGAAGGAGCACAGGAAGGCTCCACTATCCCACAAGGATGGCTTCATGTACAGGATTTCCTAAGCTGTTCGGTATGAAGTAAAATGAGGGTACGATGGGCCCTCCTCCTATCAAGCACCAGTATCCAAAATTTTTGCTGTTTCAAGAGAACAGAACATGGCACCTTCATTCCATCCAGACTGAAGAATGCTCTTTTTGATCTTGTCATGCGAACTATGGCTGGGTCTAAACAACACCCATGGCAAATGGCGATTGGTATCTTTTGTTCAGGATGTGATGGAGGTAGCTTCCATGAAAATTAACAGAAGTCTCCTGTGCGTGCAGACAAGAAGCAAAGTCGACAGCCATTCATAACATACACCAGCGAAGCAAGTGGTTTGGTTGTTGACAAGATCTAGGGAGTACCTACTCTGCCCTGAAGATTGTTGAGAGATCGTCTTTATGCAGTGCTTTGTTCAATGAACTATTACAGCAGCAACCATGCAACGCCATAGGCATAGCAAGCGGTATCTTTTTCCAGGAGCATAGGAAGGCTCCACGGCCCTACCTTACGTATAACGACAGCCAACTGGAAGAGGGTTCCTACAGTCTACAGTATGACGAAGCAAGACATCGCGCCGACGAACTGGAGCCTCCTATTGAAGTGGTCATCTTGGTCATCTTTCAAACGGCCGAGTTGACCGATCATCCTGGTAAACTTGTTATCTTCTTGCTTTCAGGGCTTTACGGGGGCGGGCGTCAGGTGCGAATCCTCGTAATCTTGCACCGCCTATGCACCACGCGAACATCAAGATCACCAAGACAAATAAAGCTTACGACCCTCGCGCATCGGCTCGCGGGTTTAATTGTGGTTAGTAGTTAGTACCATGCACGTGCATTCGTCATGTGTGCTGGCATCTAACAAGTCCATTGATTAGCATTTGCACTAGCATCGCAGGGTTGACGGCTTTAGGGTTTAGGGTTACCCGTCGAACAACGACATAACGGCTTGCTTCTTCGCGGCATGATCGACTCGAGTCCGTGTGAGAGAGAGAGGGTTTAGGGTTACGTGTCGGGCCTGCTAAGCAGTCTTTGGCAAACGTGCCAGTGCAAAGAGGGTCATGCGCCCGGCACGCGCATTAGGTTTAGGGTTACTGCAATTAGTATTGGCATTAGTCTTCGTATTGGTAATGGTATTAGCATTGGTTATGGTAATAGTATTTGTGTTTCGCGAATTTTTGGATTGGTAAGGGGTTTCGTGAACTTCAGGGTTGGAAATGTTGGAATTTGTTGAGCAATGCAGGGTTTCCTGTCCAGGACCTCACAAAGCACAGTAATGCTCGAAAGATTCCAACAGTTTAGACAAAGCTGCCAACCGCATCCAACCGCCCCGCCGAAGATGCAAGAATTGTTGGATTCTTTTGAGCATTACAAGGTTTCGTGTGTTTTAACGTTTCACATGTTGGAATTGTTTGAGCATCAGGGCTTTGTGCACCCTGCGGTAGATCTTGGGGGCGGCGTGTGTGTGTGTGTGTGTGTGTGTATGTATATACTGTGTGGATACATATGTATGTATGTATGTATGTATATATAGGTATATATATATATATATACACGTACATATACATACATACATATATAGATATGTGTACATATGTGCGTCCATGATGGAAACTGGCGACTCCACAGTTGTCTGCCAGGCACAGGCACAGAGTGTGTCATCAAGACGGTTCGGAAGGATGCCGCGGGAGAACGGCATCTCGTCTCAGTGTTTTTGAGACGCATCACAGACAAGGACGCATCTTTGCTGCATGAAACTTTGAATAGTTTTCCGTCAAAGCATGAAGGTACCGCGCATTGCTTGTAGACCGCCGTTTGGGTGAGAAGCTGCTCCACATGTCCAAGGAGGACGGAAAGAAGAAGAGCGAACACTGAATCCGCACCCTTGGCCACCTCTGTGTGCAAAGGCCAAGCATCCGAACATCGCCGTGTACCTCGACGTGCTGGAAGGGGCCATGAACTTCTATGTCATCATGGAGGCGCACGCCTGTCTTTACACGCTGGAGGCTGCCGGATGTTGCTTGAGCATCCCCAGCAACAGGCAGGTTCAATACCATCAGAGCGGGCGACCCACACCACAAAATCCTGTTGAGCTACTGAGCGTGTTGCGTGGGAATGTTGTTTTGTGTTTGTTCTACTGTTTCCCGGGCCCCCGGCATCGGAACAGCAGCCGCAGCTGTTGGAGCCACCGAGTCACCCTCGTCAGCCACATGTAACGCCTGGGGCAGGCAACGGCGCCGGACCGCGGAGCAAGCAGTAAGCTTCTGCCAGAACAGCGAATTCAATTCTGGGTACCCCACTCAAGTATGCGACAATCCGCGAATACCGAGCCCATGAGCGACTCTTTGCAGGTACACGAAAGCGCTCGGTTGTCGTTTCTTATTCATGTCCACAGCTTCGTTGCATGTGGTAGGAAATGAGTGCCACATGCCGCGGCTTATGGTGGGGACATGCCCCGGCTTATTCTGAGGACGAACTCGCACTGCACTTGCACAACTCTTGCACCACATTCTAGCTTGTTACATCCTAAATCCTTTGGTACACAAGGTGCGCGCACACACACACACGCACACACACGCACACACACACACACACACACACACACACACACACGCGCGCGCGCGCGTGTGCGCGATGAGAACGAGCCCGGATGGCCGGAGCTTCTCACGGGCTGGTAGGCGCGTTTATCGCGTGGCTTTTGTTGAACTGCAGCTGCACCGTGCCTGCAAGATTCACGGCTATTGCATTTAATTACAGGTGAAGAGGCAGGAACGGCGGGATGATCAGTCCCGATATCCGCATTTGCTGCTGCCCCTTCGCTGGACGGTTGCGCACGCACTTGGATGGCCGCCCTGCTGGTGCAACTGAAATGAAATTCCTTTGCCGCGGAGGTAGACACACGCACACTCTTTTGTGCATTCATCCGCAGCCTTCATCAAACCTGTCCAGTGCCAACCTAGACTCAAGGCTTGATGAGGTGTTCATAAAATCCTATCCGCCTTGGCATCAAGGTGCAACATCAAGGTGCAACTCTAGGAGGTATAGGAGAGGAGCATACGTTCTTATCCCTTCCCACATGGTCGGTTGCCTCATTGGGACAAGGTCCCGAGTATGTGCCTTGCACCCCCGCAATGATTTGTTACACCCTTAGAACAAGGTTCCACACACGCACACGAAGCAAGACACCTACCATACCCCTTCGACAGAGGGGTGCCCGTTATTGTTATCCTCCCAATGACTCGAACATCAACCCCCCCCTTGTTGTTCCCTTCCCATTGAGTCGAACAACAACCCCCTCTCTTGTCTTAAGCCCACAACAACCCCTCCCCCCCCCCTTGCTCTTCCCCCCACCCCCGTGCCCACGTCAGCCTCCGCCGACCCCTTCTTGTTTCCCTCCCATGGAGTCGCCGGAATCTTCGAAGTTGCTGTCTGGAGTTCCATGGTAGTCGTGGTGCCAGTGGTACTGCTAGTCGTCGTGGTCGCCGTCTAGTCGGAATTGGAGTCGGAGTCGGTGTAGGAGAAGGAGTAGCAGCATAGTTGTTGTAGTAGTGCTCGCTTCGATGCCGAACTCTAGTTTCGAGAGCTACCCGTGTAGCGCTGTGTTATAAATCCTGTAGAAACCGTCATAAATCGTTGTAGGGAGTTCCAAAGAAGCAACCCCAGTCTAGAGTTTAGCAGTGGTGGGTTTCTTCACCAGTCCTGGTGGTCGTAGCCCCCCCCCCATTTGTAAACCTTTCCAAACTGAACTTTTGTTTCTCTTCGCTTTACACCCGTTCAATACGTCTGGCTTTCGCCTTCAGAAGAATTTTCATTTATGCTTATTCTTCTGTTTTCACATTTAACCCCCCGAAACGTTTCTCCGTTCTGTGTGACGGACAGGATGTTTTTAGGAACTTCTTCGCGGCATAGGAGCGAGGAGTTTGCAGTTTGAAAAAAAGAGCGGGTGGGTTGGGGGGCGCAACCCCCCCCCCATTGACAAACCTTTCCAAGCTGAACTTTGGTTCTTTCTTCGCTTTACATCCCGTTAATACGTCTGGCTTTCGCCTTCAGAAGACTTTTCCTGTATGCCTGTTTCTTCTATTTTCACTTTTAACTTTTAACCCCACGAAACGTTTTCGTGTGGTTTTCTCCTTTATGTGTGATGGAAAGGATGTTTTTTTGCACTTCTTCGCGGCATCCCCCGGGTTCTTGTTCCGTTCCTGTTTCTTCGAACAACAACCCCCCCCCCCCCTTTTTAGTTTTCCCCTCCCACCCTGCATTCTTCGAACAGTTAGCACCCCCCGTGTTGTTGTTCAACAACCCTCCCCTGTTCTTCTTCTTCACCCCCTCCCCCCCCCGAAATAAACAACACCACCTCTCTGTTTCTTCCAACAACCGCCCCCCTTGTTATTGTTCCCCTCCCACCCCCGGTTCTTCGAACAGTTAGCCGCCCCCTGCCCCCCCCTGTTGTTGTTCCCCTCCTAGATCGTCAGACAACAACCCCCCCTCGCCTGTTCTTGTTCTTTCCCCCAACAACGCCTCTGTTTGTTGTTCCCTACCTGTTTCTTGGAACAACACCCCCCCCCCCCCGGTTGCTGTTCCTTTCCTGTTTCTTCGAACAACAACCCCCCCACCCTCCCCCAGTTCTTCTTCTTCCCCCCAAACAACACCCCCCCCCCCCCCGGTGCTTCTTCCCCCCCCCACCCCAAACAACAACCCCACCCCCTGTTCTTCTTCTCCCCTCCCCCCTCACGCCGCACCGTCCGTGGGGGGGGGGGCTTCTTCTTCCCCAAAACCACGAACAACAACCCCCCCCACCCCTCCTCGAAGGGGTCTCACACCTACCGGACCTACCTTGACTGTGACACGAGACATGCCCAGGTGTTCTCGTGCAAGAAATCGAAGTCGGATCCGCCGACTGGCAGCGTCAATGACGAAGCAGCGGTGAAGAGAGCATTCAATACTGTTTGTTCATGCGGTGCCCTGGAACGAGAAGTAAAGTTGAACAGGGAAATCTCTCCGTTCTTTTTGCAGCTGCCAGCACTGCAGCTGTTCCTGTACAGCTTGGTTTGTGCTCCCAGCAGCCACTGCTACCTATGCATTAAAAAGCCATGTCTTGTTCCCGGCTCGTACTGGCTAAGGAACAAAAAAATGAAAGGCTTGATGTTGCCGAGTGTGAGCATAAAACCGGGCTAGGAACATGCTCCGCCATCAACAGAACAAGAGCCTTAAAGCAGGCTGCGGCTGCGTTTCGAACGGGAGAGGATTCTTTTCTCGGGAAGGTGTCTCCATAGCCAAGAGAGCAAATAGTCGAACTAAGCATCTGTTTGTTTGGGGGATGTTATCAAGATCCCGGCCGCACGCACGGAAACATAAGCGCAGAAACCCCCACATCCCCCAACACCTGACATGCTTTCAAGAGTCGGGAACCCGAAACGCTTCGGTGTCGAAACCTCATGGTGCTGATGCTTCAGGAATGACTTTGCGCTGATTTGAAGAGATGCTGGCTCTAGGAAGTTGAAGCAGCAATTGGAGCACAAGACCATAACGCAACATGCACGAGCGGGCAACCTGGTGCATATGAAAGGAGCTCGGGCCCACTTGGCGGGGCAAATGACTGGGTCTTGCGCCAGGATTGAAGTGTTTCCCAAATGGGACAGGCTGGGGATCGAGTGCTGTCAACGAGCCAACTTGCCTTTCGCAAAAGATTGCCGATTGCACCCCATCAAAATCGCGGCGACCCGCTCGAGACAGGACAGAGATGGCAGATTCTGCTGAAGGCATGCAGCCTTGTCCAGGAGTTAACAGGCGCCGAGCTGATGGACCAAGTGGAGGATGAGGGCTTTGGCAGTGTTGTTGCTTACCTGCTGGCCCTAGATTCGAGCGAAGCAGCAGAAAGCTTTAGTAATTTTGGTGGTCCAAGTCTTCGCGCGGGGACACGCGCAATAGGTTCGGGTGTGTTTCTGCATGGGAGCCCTGTTCTCGAGAGCAGGAGCTCTTCCCGGTGACCGAGGCCTTTTGCAAGGGCACGACAGCTCCAGTTGAAAACAGTTCTCCACTGATGCAGCTGCGAGGCCTACCTGCAAAAGGTCATGGTGGAGATTTTGCGAGCATTAGCGCCGAATGCCTACTGCATGCATGCTTGTCACTGCTGGTCGGTTGAACTGAAGAACTTGGCGAGGCTGCAACCCGAAAGGATGTCAATTTGACCGCTAATTTGCATGAAAAAGTGAACTGCGAAAGGCATCTTCATGATGTCGTCGGGCTGCTGCACAGAGACGTCCAGCACTCAAGTGCAGTGGGTTTGGACATGGCTTCCGCTAGCTTGCGCTGAAGATCACTGGACTTGCCGACACGAAGCAAGACTCTGTAGGTGCCATTTTTTGCTGTGCTAGCGTGATCCATTTCAGTTGGCCTCTCGTCTCATCTTTCTCGGGTTGCGGGCCCAAGTGGAGAGCAGGGTTGACGAACAGCAGTTCTAGACCCGTGAGAAACAAGTGGCCAGATCTCCACAACATCTATGAAAAACCGCAAACGACACTTTGGAAAGATTTCAATGGGCTTGAGGGTTGAAACCAGCCAACCTGGCCTGCCCCAGGCCAGTGTGGTAGTAGTTGTTTGAAACACTAGACAGTCTGGGCGTAGGCTGAGAAAGCACGTGCCAGTTGTCGCTTGCTAAGCTATAATGTGAGCACTTCGTCCTTGCGATTCTTATGCAGGGGCTAGAAAATCAAGTAGTTCAGAGTTGTGCTTCGGATATTGCCATGGAACATACCAGCTAGTTGTAAGACCAACTCCAAGTTTGTTCCAAGAGGTAGATTTGGGTCGCCGCCGGACAAAGGAAGTCCGGACATGTTTGTCCGGATAGTTGCACGTGCTTTTGGCTGCTTGCTTTGCCGAAAACTAGCAGCAGGGGGGGTGTAGCCATAACTGGTCGCTAAAGTTCAGATTATCGGCGGTAGGTGCTAGGAGCGCCACGACCGACGACGACACTGCGACTGCGACCAGAACGACCAGACCAGACCACCATGACACTGCCAGCTGATCTGAGGTCCATCGGTTTTGATTTGTTGTTGGCCTTTTGAGTTTGGCAAAAATTATGATGCTTTCCGCTTGTTTGTGGCAGACTGTCGTCAATTGTCAACTTTTCGGTGTATGCAAGTTCTTGTTGTCCTGCACTTGGAACTGAACAACTTAGCCGAATCAGTCCTCGAGTCTTTGTATGTAAACGGGTAGCCTTTCTGCTCCGTGCTCAGCTTACCGGGTCTAGCTGAGAGTGCCAGTGCCTAGGCTTAGGCCCTGAACGAAGACGCATTTTCGTTTATATTTGACATGTGATCCACACATCCCAAACCTCGGCCAAGGCAGCCAGCCCAAGATTGTCGAAAGACTTGCATGTATGGGGCTACTGTAGTGTTATGATAGTGTTATGGAGATCAGCTGGCCATGGCAGATGATGGCACGAGCTGGGCTTACCTTAGCTGCTTCGAAGACTGGCAAAGCCACCGCAGCAAGAGAAAGCCTGCTTTGGAAGCCGAGAGCTGTCCACCACACGTAAAGCGTTTGTGTGATGCTGCTTGTCAGCAGCACCCGGAGCTTGCCCAGGCTTTCAAAATAGGTAGGCCAGTGAACGAAGGTGCGAGTCCGAGTGAACCGTTCCCAGTGCGTGGAATTGTCCAGATAAAAGTAGGCAGCAAGTATGCAGGTCATTTCTCTCCAGGTTGGTCGGAAAAAGCTTTCTTCATGCATGAAATTTGCCATGATGCTGCGCTAGATGCATACACGCTGGAAGTACAGAAGCGGCTTTGCTTTGCTCTGTGGGAAGACCCCGTGCATGCCAACTGCGTGACTCTCCCCAACATTCGAAAAGTGAACAAATCGGCATCGGCAGATTACTCGTGGATCGAGGATGTTCCTGTGTGTAGCGAAAACAAATCACACAAGAAGTCCTTGATATGCCTGATGACAGCCGCGAGCATAGGTTCCAGTGCTCCTGTGCAAAGCAGATCTGGTGCTGATCTGAAACAGAAATTATTGCAGCTTCATCTGTTTGAGCCTTCCAGCAATGACATACAGTTTCGCTGCCTCCGTGAGGTTCTAGGCGATGCAGTCTCTGAGAAATGCTTAGATTTTCCCGTGCTTCGTTTGCCTCGCATGATTGCCTTTTTGGTTGTCGTGGGTTTGTGGCACGAGGTTGTTATGCTGTCGCGTTGGACGCACCCGCATTTTCCATCCCTTACTGCCTCCTTGCCCCAAGAATGGCTCACAACAGTGGCACACTCGCCTGAAGATGGATTGTCTACCCAGCTACTCACACTGGATCACGTTGAGAACACGATGGGGTTGATGAGGCGTTTGGGCGCTCAGGTGTTGCCATCCTTGCTGGACGACGATGCAAGGGTCGGGTTGGAGATGGATTTGGAGAGCTGTCTGAGGGCGTTGCGTGCTCACGGGCGTACCCTAGATGTTTCACATGCAGTGTATCACACAAAGCATTTCCGCGGTGGGATCCCGTCAGATGTTTTCGTGCAACAGCTTGTGGCAAGCTTGGACTTGAAAGACAAGAGTATGCTGAAGCGTCATGCAGAACGTTTTTGCGCTTGTTTGCCAAAAGTATTCCGCCCCTTGCTCGATGCCTGGATGTCGGGACAAGTTGTTAGTGCCACATCGCTTGTGCGAGGTAGGCTGTTCCTGGACGTGGCCATGCAGCTTGTGCATCGTCAAAATCTGTCAGATAGTGGCGGTGTATTGAAATACGCCTGGGGGGATGCATCATCTAAGTATGGGTTGGAGGTGTACAATTCTCGATACCGATGGTTCAAGAAGTCGCAGTGTGTGGAGCTTGCCCGTGCCTGGCGGTATTTGTGCAACAATCCATGGGGTCCAGAGGTAGATGATGAGATCTTACGGAAGAGAGCTGAGTGTTCCCAACTCCTCCATGACAGCATCCATCTCCACACCATGATGCCGCAACTCTTGGGCAGCAAGCGCACGACCTTGCCGGACAAAGTATCGGCGCATGTCCACGCCAGCCTCCTAGAGTGCTCCAGCCTGCAAGATCTTGACACCAGCTTTGATAATCATATCTCTTGGACATCAGATATGGGAGTAGAGGCAGGTCTGCCATCATTTGGCATACAAGGGGCTGAGAAAACCTTGCCCCCTTGGCTGCAGCCTGCAAGAGCCAATGTTGTAGAAGGAGAGGAATTTGTTGAAGACGGTCCTGTGGTGAATGAAGATGCAGCTGTGACGAAGCCTTTGATGCAACATGCTCTCCAGATGCCCGGGATTTGTCATTGCATCCACAATGCCACAGAGACTTTGGAGACAGCGTTCCATTGGTTTGAGACGTTCGTTGATCATTATAAGGTTTTAGACAAGTTCCTAAGCAGCAAGCAGCGGCGAGAGCGATTTGTGGAAGTGGTGATGTATGGTTCTCCTGCATATGAAACAGCCAAACAAGTCTTCTCAAAACAGGTGCCGGCGTTCTACACGAAGCGCTGGAATGCCTTCACAGACTGTTTGCGTGAAACGCTTCCCATGGCTTTGTTCCTGCGTTCACATTGGGATCATGTGCGGTACCTGGAGGGTTTGGAAAATGCGGCTTCAGTAGATGATGGCTGGGCTCCAACGGACCTGAACAGCATATTGAGCAACAACTACTTTTTCGCATACTGGCGGATGCAGCTGAAGCTCCGGGGTCAGTTGAGCACATTCATGTCATGGGCAGAAGGGTGCAGCTGTCACAAAGTCCCTCGTCGACGTGCAAGTGACCATGAAGACGACTCGGAGGACCCGAAGTCAAGCATATCCTTGCAAAGCCTTCTGAATATGGAGATTACTTCTGCACGGCAGTTGCCCCGTAGGTGTCCCATGATGGGTTGTCAAGCTCCCTTTTTGGCCAGTGATCACCTCGAAACATTATCGAAGCGTTTGGCAGAGTCTTCGCACCATCTTGTTGCAGACTGCCATGAGCGGCTCAGTCAAGAAGAGTGGGGCACCTTGCTGTCTGAGTGGAAGCATGGGACTTCTGTGATTATTGAGAACCTCAAACTTCGGTTGGAGTTTTACACTTGTCTTCCTTGGGTGCTTCTCTCCGGGGCACATCCTGTGGCAAACGTAGCACGTCAGGGTCTCCAAAAAGCTTTGCGGTTGTGGGAGCAATTGCCAGATGATGCCAAAGCATCTCAGCACTTGCTTGTCCGAGGCTTGTTTCAGGATGCCGGTTTGAGTGAGCAGCTGGTGGCTTTTTTGGCATCAGACGACGACATAGAAAGTTTTCCCCAACTGGAGCAGTTTTTTGCCCCCTTGTCCTTTGTGCAAGTAGCTGAGCGGTTGATCGAGGCAGCTCACAAAGACTTAGGCCAATCTCGGCCCAAGAACTTCAGTATGAATCTACTCTCGATCAATATGCGTTTGCCTGAGCTTGACCGTTATCTGTGGCAGGACCCAGGCAACTTTGCAAAACTCGTAGATGCTTTCGAACAGTCCCGGCACTTGCGTTCATTCACTAGCAATTTTCCTTGCTACCGAAACCACCCCAAAATGCTGTCAGTGGCTGGCAAAAGAAAATCTGCAAAGTTTGAAAGTTTTGTCAGGGAAGCTTTGTACCGTGATGCGAGGCTGCAGTTTGCAGATGTCAAGGAGGCTGCAGAGACCCATAAGGCCGAAGTGAAAAAGAGAGAGGCTGCCCATAAACCCCACAAGAACAAAGTGAGACTTTCCGAAGCTGTGGTCGTAGGACGTGCCATCACAGACAGAATCCGCGAAGTAGCGCACGAGCAGCCCGGCACCATGTTTTCGATTCACGCTGGACCAGACCAAGGCACAAGGTTTTTCACGCCAGTCCTGTTGAATCCATCTGGTCTGCGTCGCCCTGTGCATGCCCCATGTACTCTGCACGAGTATGCTCCTACTGACATGCTTGTCACTGTTTGTGAGAATCGTGGATCTGTTGAAAGACCGCTTGTGAATGCCATGTCTGCAGGAAGCACAGAGACACTATCCATGCAGCAATTGCTCGCAGCTTGCGATGACATGCATTCTTTCGTGAAAGAACTCCGTGTCTGGTCTCGGGGTGGTGGCTTGAAGTATTGCTTGCCGCTGTTGGGTGGAGGAGTTTCCACTTTGCTGCAAACATTGCTGGATCATGGTGCTGTGCCGGGCAAGGGGCGTGCTTTGGCAGTGCAGGATGGTGCTAGGGAAGGGTCTTTGCAGATGCTTCAAGGATCAGGGTATGTAGATCATTCCGCAGCAGGGTGGCAATTAACTCAGAAAGCT